GTTCATCGAGCATAATCACCTTTGGCCTAAAATTTTTTGTGAGACTTTTAAGCATTTTTCTCACCAGTCTCTTTTCTTCAAAGTGCATACCAAGAGCTTCAGCTTGATTTACAACATCCATGAATCGGTTGTGATAGACAGCAATTGTTTCATCTTCATTCATCTTTAGTGCTTCGAACAGAGTTTCAACATGGTCCAGCTTTGATTCTCGAACCTGCACAGACCCTTCAAATGCATTTTCAAGAATATCCCATGCTTCCTTAGCAACTTTGCAGTTTGATATCAGCTTCGCTTGAGTTTCATCAACAGCATTGAAGATCGAAAATAAGGCTTTCGAGTTGGCGATTGCAGCAGCCTTTTCATTGAGAGTCCATTCTCTTTTTGGTTTCTTCACAAGAGTAACAATATTATCTTCATTTTGAATGGTCTTCGTGGGATGAGACCATGCAGACTCGACAGCTTCAGAAACATCTTCACCTTGTAACATTAGAAATGCTTCCATTTTGTTCTTCCAACTTCGATAACTTGTTCCATCAAACAGTGGAGGTCTCGATGTAGATCTACCTTCTTTACTCATCTTTGCAAACTGTGAGAGAATCTACTCAGCAACTTAGAGAACACTGCTCTGATACCAAATGTTGGGATGGAAATGAGTGCAACTCCAATAAATCCTCGTACACATATCCAAATGGGCCAACCTCCCGAAGCGTAGTTATATCACAGTTATGACACCCACTTGTCGATGAAGTAAAAGAAAGTATTTCAAAGCAATAAATGAGATGCTATTTGTTTACCCGGTTCGGATATAAACCATCCTACATCCGGGGGATACCAATCCAGGAGGTGTTCATTAATCAGTGCTGATTAATAACAAAACACTCAAACCTCCACCAACCCACGCTACGAATTAATTACCCTTCAAGGTTCAGTTGTTACAAACTCGTACTAACAACCGTCATAGCTGGGCTGCACAGAGTTCGAATGCTCCCCTGATCAGAACTCCAGTCTTCCTTTGATCTCCAAGCTTCTCCAACAGAAATACAATGAAAATCACTTACTTAATGCATGGAGGTGGAAGGGAAGTTGTTGAGAGGATAAGCACAATAATTATCTTACTACCCAATCTCTCTCTCTCTCTAAGATCGCACACTCTACTTCCCAAAACTCTAATACAATGAAAAACATACAACCACAGCAGCCATGAAATGACATGCATTAAATTCCCTTTGTTCTAACCAAGGAATGATGTTGTATCAAATCAGTTCTGATCACAAGAAGACAAATTCGAAATGTCCAATTTGTCTTTGAGCAGCCACCAACGAGAGGGGACACAAGGGCTGCATGATTGGACTTAACCAGCAAGTCCAGAGTTGCTGTTTTTGAATGCCAACGACCACAGAAGCGAAAAGTGTTTTTGTCACTATGCCAAAAATAGATGTAGAGGAATTGAGATTATCTTAACAATCTAAATTCAGTCGAGACATTCTCCCAAAGGGTTAGTCGAACCGCACTCATCGTCTTCCTATCAATCTTCTTTTACTCGACTTCATCCATCTTGACTCCCACAAACAAACCTTAGGTTCACTTGATATGAGAGCACATCCGATATTCCGCTGTGTTTGCCGAAACCCTTATCCTTCCCTGTCCACCTTGCACCGCCTATCACAAAGGGACCCGCTGCCTCACCCACCAGTCGAGACCGACCCAACACCACCAGGAAACTTTCGACACAAGGCACCTTCGCAAGTCACAAGGAATTCCCACAGCGATCCAATGTTTGATTCATCTCAATCTACGGTACTAACGAACCAGGCTCTGATACCACTTGTTACGGGAATTTTAGGAAATCAAGATGAGGCAAATAAGGACACAAGAACATAAGAATTTTGTAACCCAATTCGATCACAATGATCTACGTCTGAGAGCGGCGCTGTCAGGCCAGGAATTTTACTATAAAGTATGTATAAACATGTTAAAGTGATAATATATAAATATTTATAGGCTAAGCCTATGTCAATAATATCCACATCATATTTCTAAAATATAGAATATAATATCTAAATCATATCTCAATACTTTGTAGCTATTCTAAATATTCTCTTTTCTCCCTTAGAAAATGGTTTATTTGAATATTGGAAATGAATAAGGAATAATTCAAATTTAAATCAATCCAAATAGAATTTGAGAAATGTTGATTTGATTAATATTTATTTATGGAGAACCTAATTAAATACACATTAAAAAATTATTCAATTATATATATATTGTATATTTATGTGCTTATGGTTTTTCTTTTATTTTATGCATATCTTCTGTAGTTTTTGTTTAAATATTTTTCATTAAAGAAACAAAAAAGAATTGGGTAAAATTGGAAATTGAGAAAGGACTGAGGGCCAAAATGTAATACGTAGAAAAGGGCAGATGGGAGGCACGTGAGGAATTCGAGGAAAGAAGGCGGCAGGTCACGTGCGCCCATCCCCTGCCATACAGCTTGCCGGCTCGCGTGCGGTGGGCCCAATTTTCCGTCCCTTCTAACGGTCACCATAAACGACGTCAACTTCCGCCGTTAACTCCTTTCAGTCCAATTTTACAAGTCAAGTTTTAATTTATTTTTTATACTAACATTTTTTTATTTATTAATACTTGAGGGTGAAGAAAGTCAGTGCTTAAACTTAAATACGACGCCAATAATTTATTACTATAATTTAATTATATTAAAATTTTATTACAGTAATTCATAAAATTCAATAGGCTAAAGGTAATTTGATTATTGAAATAATTATTGGTTGAAGAATTTGGTAGATTTAATGATTTATTTGATTTACGTTTAAAATTAAATTTTGTTTTAAATTTAATTTAAATAATATTTTAATATAATATTTATTGATGATTTGAGAACTAATTAAACCAAACACAAAATTTTTGAAAAGTAATTTTTTATTGTTTATAAGTTTCAATTTTTTTAAAGATAAGATATTAATTGAATATAATATTTTAGTTAAAAATATAAATAATTTTTATTAAAAATAAAGAAATTTTATAATAAATAATTAATAATATACAAATCGTGACAAAATAATAAATAGGTAAATAATTGCACCTGAGTGCATTTCAGGGAATTATTAAATATTAGAAAAAAAATGTTTTATTTTAAATAAAATTTTTGAATTTTTAGAAATTTAATAATCATATAAAAATAAGTATTCTAGATATTTTGTAAAATAAAAAATATATTTATGATATTATTTTAAAAAAATTATACAAAAACTATATATATTTTTTAAAAGTATGTACATAAACAAACCCTAATTCTTAACTATTTTCTTAAATAAATAAATACCTCTGTCCGGAATTTTGTTGCACTTTTAATAGATATATATTTTTTTACTTTGTATTTGAATTTTTAATATTTTATTTAAGTTTTAAATTATATAATATTTAATTAAAAATATATATATTTTTGTTAAAATTTATATGAATTGAATAATGATAATAATAATAATAATAATAATAATTAAATTGAATCAAAATACAAACTAAACAAAACTTAAGTTATGGGCAATGCGTGGAGAGCACGTGACTGAAAAGGATACAGGCGGTGGGTCACTCTCGTTCTCGTGGGGGATGTCACGTGCTGCTTCAAATGTGTCCGCTTCCGCTATTGGTTGTAAATTATTATATGGTGCGTTTATTAGGATATATTTAATTGTATTTTTTGTTTTTTTCATTAATATTTAATTCAACATATATATATATATATTTTGTTTTATATAATTCGATATCAATAAATCAAATCATGTTAGTGTCATGCTATTCTATTACACTTTTGAGGTATACAAATATGTATTTCATAATCTTATATTTTTGTGTTTTAAAAAATAATAAAAAAATATATACAAGTGTAAAAAAATGTTTGAAAAAGAACATATACATATTATAGAAGTTATAAAACATTCAAATAATAAAAATAATAATAATAACTACCGTACATGTAAAACAATCCTATTCCCTCCGTCCCTTAACAATCTATCCATTTTTCATTTTGGTCCGTCTCATAACAAAGTATTAATTTTCTTTTTTAGTAACTGTACAATCTATCTAACATTACAAATACTCTTCCAATTTACAATATATTACACAAATATCATTACCTTTATATCATACAATACTAATAGAGTTAATTTAGTCTTTTTATTTTTGTTTCTACTTTATCCCAATATAATACTAACATTTCAAAAATTCCGTACAAAAAGCAAATGAATATATAGATATGGGACCCAGAGAGTATATCATAAATAAAATAGATAAACATCACATAGTTTATTAAATAAATTTATGTGTTTTTTATTTTAAATCAAACACGCCCTATTTTGATTTTTGAATTAAAATTGGACATTTATAGGGTATTTCCGCAAGCAAATCTATAATTATATAGATACTTTTTAAATTTTTAGTATTATTATTTTAATAATTCATGTTAAGTTTTTATTTCACTTTATGAAGTATCACGTTAATTATTTAATTATTTTTTTACTATTTTCAAAAAAATTTAAAATTTTCTATTTAATTTAATAATTAAAAAATACTAATAATAAGAGGAATCTTTATTGAAACATAAAGAAAGGGCTTGGGTTTTGTTATTGTTGGTGAGAATGACATGGAAGGAGCAGCAGTCACGTGCGTCGTGGGTGGCCGTTGGGGTTGCTAAGTGGCCCCACTCAGATTAGGACACGCGTTCTTGTCAACACCCAATTGTGACGTACAGTACATTATAATAATTGCGCTTATTACACCTAATATACATATAAATACTTATTTTTCGTTTTAAATTAAATTAGCAAATATTACTATATATTGACAGTTGTGTGCTGTCTTTTTTCTTTTTTTTTTTGTGCTGTCTTTATATATATATAGTTTTTGTTATATACTTCGTATGCTGTATAGACGATACTTTATAAATTATTGGTTTATACTTCATGTACCAATTTACCAATAATCAGTACCCAAACAGCTGCAACATTAATATTAAAATAATATAACTTAAATTACAAATATATCATTACACAATTCCACTAACTAATAAAATACTATTCCCCTTTGGAATGTCGTCCACAAACTAATGTCCTATTTGGAATGTCGTTGTCCTCTTTCTATTTTTACTCTTTTACCTTTACTTTATTTATTTTTTTATTTACTACAAAATCTAAAGAACTCATCTGAAATGGACCAAAGAGAGTATTTTTTTTAAGAAGATAGTAAAATTGTATAGAATTTTATTTTATTTAAAAAAAAAAAAAAAAAAAGATTCAATGAGCTTGTCTTCTTTATTACTAGCGGAAAGACCCGTGCTACCCGGTGGCAATCTTTTCTAGTAGAAATACTTTGCTTCCAAAAAAAAATACTGTTTATAAACTTTCGGTTGTTTCTACCATTAAAGAAAAAACCATATAAAAAAAAAATTATGCAAAAATTGAAGAAAACTCTATTAAAAAATTTAAATTCATTGAAAAACTTACTTCAAGAAAACAAACTTATGCTCCCGGTGGCAATCTTTTCCAGTAGAAATATTTGCTCCCACAAAAAAACACGGTTAAAAAACTTTCGATTGCTTCTGCCATAAATAAGAAAAAAAAAACACCGTATAAAAAAGACTGCCCAAAAATTGAAAAGAACATTATTCAGAAACTTACTTGAAGAAATCTTCTCTTCCTGGTGGCAATCTTCTCTAATAAAAAAATTTGTTTCTATCATAGAGTTTGAGATTTGCTTTTTCATGAAAACTAATAGTAAAAAACTATATATCCACTATTATATAAATATAAACTGTATTTTCATTTTTAGTAAAAACTGTATCTCCACTATTTTTTAAAACTGTAAAAGAAAAAAAAACAAATTAAAAAAAAAAAAAATCTCAAAATTCTAAAATTACATGATTGCAAAATTTTGCAAAATTTTAAAGAAATGTGAGATCCACCTTGAGCTGTTATATATATATATATATATATATGATATGATTTATTTTACAATTTTTGCTTTTCATGTTACTATGTATTGGTGTTATTATTACATAAAAATCATACTGGATCAAATATGTAATTTCAAAATATATAATAAATATAAAGCTTCCATATAGTCAACACACATATAACATAAAATTTCAAAGCATATAAAGCATGTGTTGTGTTCTTTAAAATACTTCAACCCTTGTGTTTGTTTGAAAGATTTTAGAGTATTTGTACTTATTCACTAAAAATTCACCCTAAACATATCAATCAAAACACCTATTTTTTTTAAAAAAAATTTTTTATATTATACTCAAAATTAATTTTACATTCAAAACATCATATCAGCACATCGTACAACTATTCCAATTCAAATTTTTTACTATTCAAATCCCAATCCAAAATCCAAACCCCAGAACAAACACACCCTAATGTCTTATGGCTTATGAATATATCTCATGTAGTGAAATCTCAATTTAATAATATTTATTGTGTGGACTATTATCATACGGTATCAATTAATATTTCATTTACACAGTATTAAAACAAACTATATATGGTTGATTAATATCTGTCAGCACTATACTCAATGTAGTTATTCATCACTCAATCAGCAGCCATATATAGATTATGAATTGCATGACATTCTATTCATACTTCAAATTCACTAATAAAATAAAGTACAACACCCAACCAAATATGGTTATAAGTCACAAAGGAATTACCTCTTTGTTGTTGGCTTCTTCTGCAACAGAATAGTATTAACCATTTCCTTAACATATATGTAAAAACATTCTCTGCAACAATTAGGCATCAGGCTTACCTTCTGGACTCGAGTTCCATCGCGATGCGAGCACGAAAAGCCCTGAACAGAATACGACCTGGGCTTCGGGTGCTCCAGTCCGCACTCGGCTAGAATTGCATGTGTCGCAAGCCTCGCGATTTCTTTGAATGTATTAACTTCTGCATTCGGCTCAACGGATAAGTAGTTCTGTAATTAGATGGTAACAAAAATATTCAATTATCAACGAAAGGGTACGGCGAGCATACCTAATTTCTCCTTTTCGGTTTGAAGTTTCAGGTTGAGCTTTACGAGGGACTGGATCTCGCTTTTGGCTTCAGAATACTTCTGATTGTCGACACTGATTTTCTTCGACTCTGTTTTCTCCATCGGTTGCTTTAACTTGCTGTGGGAGGAAGAAGGATGATCGATCCCTTTAACAATGGTGTTTGAAGATTCGGGTACTTGGAATTTCGAGGAATGACCAATTATCGAGCACTCACGAGAACTAACATCATCAGTCCCGCGCTTTCTAGACACTGAAGATGGCTGCTTGCAAGAATCTTTTCGAGGATCATAATGACTCTGCTGTTGTCTGATGCTTCCAATGTTCTTCGGTGCAGTCTTTTGAACTGATTGTAATTTTCTTACAGGAAACTTCGAATCACGGTTTGATGTTGACATTTCTAGTCTTTGTTTTAGCAACGTTGCTTTGTCCATCATCTTCCAAGCCTTTTCGATCTCTTCTGCTCTTCCGGAATTTGTTGTCTGAGAAGAAGTACACTGAGCTGTCGATTGCTGGTCAGGACAAGATTGGCGTTCATTTGCACGAGGCATCGTCTTCTTTCTGGAAATGTTACCGTCGCTAGGGCTAGAAGAAAAATGCAAAATACCATTTCGAAAGCCATTCCAACTCTGGCGCATTAGACGTATCCGACCATGGAGATCGCGACAGTGCTGCAGGGTTCTGGCATTCGGCGGCATTAGATTTTCTGTACCGATTCCCACGATTCTTGTACATACTCTACCATTTTCGTTGCTGGTTGTACTAGAACTGTAGTGTTCTTGCACGATATCATATACGGAAACCTCAGCATCAGGTGATGATGGTCTTGGGATTGGGTTGGAACTGATTTGATCACCCGATTCAGCATTTGTTTCGATTCTTGATTGCTCGTCCTTCAGAAGTGTGCAGTCCTGGCAGAACCAATCACCTTCGGGAACTGTTGTCCCGAGACCAACACAGTAGGTATGAGCAGCACAGTCACAGAGATCACACAAGAGTAAGAGGCTCTCGTCTTCTACACCATTACAAACTGAACATTTGGATTCTGTATATGGATCCGAAGGCCCACTCGTCACATTTCCAAAATAATGATGAGCCTGCATCGTGGGCGCAATAAGAAAGACATTAATTACAATGAAACTCGTCCTCTTGCCTTGTTTGCTCGTCAAATGCAAGGAAGTTAATATCAAGAATATCAAGATATCTTACATGCCTCTGAAATATTAGTTTTTCAAATTCTGCCCATGCTTTCACAGCTCATATTTTAACCTTCCTTGCTATGAAAATCGATGACCAGCAGAGAATTTTTTATGTGAAATTTTAAACTTCACAGATACTATTAACAAGTATGTATAAAATGGAAGTTCCCCTTTTGTTTTGTGGCACATATATCAGCAATATGAAGAATTAATCTTGTTTCTGTCAATTTACAAGAAGTAGGTTCTGATTTATGGCAGATTATGAGATTGTTGACAATAAATTGATGTTGCAATATTACTAAATCATCAATTTCTAATACTATGAGATTTTGTATAGTCCAATACTGTTGTGTGGTGAATTTATACGAGATTTAGACTGAGTCCTAGCAGTGTACTGAGAAATTGATGAGCTGTGATGAAAAGCAGTTTCTGAATCTCTTTAATGCACATCAAATGTAACTTCGTCATGGTCAAATTTCACTAATGGCGGAACAAAATTTTTATATAAGAAGCCAAAAACTAAGCATCCTTCAATGGAGAATTGAATGAAGAGTTTGTGCAGAACGAGGAAATAGGAAACAAAACAACAACCTGATCGCGAAGGGGAACATGAACAACGCGCTCGGATTCGAATACAGGAGGCTTGGGTGGGCGGCGGATGGTGGAGAAGCGGCGCTTGCAGAGGGGGCATCTGGACTCGACCTTCGCCCACTCCATGATACAGACGAAGCAGAAGTTATGGCTGCAGCTGTCGATGTAACCTCTGCTCACTCCGCCGTCTCCGCGTTCCGACAGGCAAATCCCGCAGCAATCCACCGATTCATCCTCGATTTCCCTGTGATTCGGCGGCGAGGTCCCCTCGTCGATCTTCGATTTGCCTTTGGACATCGGAGAAGGTGGATCGGGTGATGAAATTAGGGTTTTAGGGCGTTTGTTTGGGGGAAACTGCGGCGGCTCCGCCATGGCGATTCAGCTCGCCGGCCGCGAAATGGCTGTCTCGTAATTATCGTTGGACTCGGAAATTCGAGGATAAAAAAGGATAATATTTACCTTTATTCCTCATTTTCTTTTTCGCCTTAAATTTACCTCAATATTTGTTGTACACGTGGCCGCTACAAATTCACTATGTAATGCACACGTAGGTATATTGTGGATTGTTCGTAGCCTAATGTTGAGATGAAGAAATTGAATTACAATCCCATCCAAGTCGCTCTTTTACTCTGCGTCTCGTTTCTCTCGAAAATAGAGTAATTAATTATAGTATATTATTATATTTATATATATAAAATACTCCCTCCGTCCCATAAATATAATTTTAATTGAATTGAATACGAGATTTAACTATTGATATTATATTGGTAGTAGATAAAAAATACGATAAAAGATTTTTTTTTTTTGCCTTCGTGTATTAATGTAAACAATAGTGACAATTGTATAATAAAAATAAAAAAATAGAGGTAATTTTATGGTGATACACTTAGTTATTTATGAAAATAAGACTATTATTTTTGGACGGACAAAAATGGTATTTAGTTATGTAAAAATAATTAATATTTTTATTAGTCTGTAATTTTTAATTATTTTTTAAATTTAATATTTATTAGCAATATATAATATTATTTCAGTCTGACTCTAATAACTCATTTACTTTTTTGCTTCTTGAATTTTGAATATTAATTATTGTTATCTCCATCTCCATAATTTGTTCCAATTTTCTATTTTCGTTTGTCCATATAATTTGTTCTTTCTATTTTTTAAAATATAATTATATATTTTAATTTCATTTTTTTATAATTTTTTAATTTTAATTAAACTATTTGTTTATTTTAATTTTAATTTATAATTAATTTTATTAAATAATATTTTTTTTACTAATATACTTTTTAATTATCTACTGATTATATATATATATTTTAAATTCTTGTATCTACCATAATAAGCCCAAAATATCTTAGACAGAAAGTATATCAAAACGTAGTACAAAAATTTAAAATATTTTTATAATACTAATAAAATGACATTATAAGTACAATTCTATGCAAAAGACCCGCTGACGGATGGAGTATTATTTTATTACTATATTTTTTTATTTATTTTTCAAATTATTAACTAAATTTACAAAGAACAAAAATCGTTTTTGTCATTATATATAAGACGGCCTATTGGCTTACTTACGTCTATGAATATCCAATATAACTGTGTTTTAATTTGGATGGATTGATAAAATAATAATAAATAATGAGATTAAAATTAATAATTACTATATAATAAGACAAAAACAATTTTTTCTCATTAAAAATATTTTTAATTATATTTTTTACTTTTCTTATTTATAATAAAATAATAATTTTAAAATCTTCATAATATCATAGTTAAATGTGCTATTCTCTTTACTGAAATTGTTTATTAAAATTTCCTATTCTATAAATGTGTTTAATTTGTACTATTTGAAAAGCATATTATTCACTCAAACGTTACAAAAAAAAAAAAAAAAAACCGTTAAAAATAAAAATATATTAATATTGCATTATAATGCTATCTAAATCAAAATTCAAATCAAAACTATTATGAATAGGCTTTTTAGGCTATGCATACAAAGTTGTATAAAATTCAGTTGGCTGCTGATATGGACTTCAAACCAAACACGGCCGTGTTGGTGTTGTGCACACTACTTGGTTTCCAGTGTTTTCAAGTCGTCGTCGTCTTCAAGCATGTTAACCTACACTTCGATCCCTTTCCCGTCGGCTCTGCTCATCAGTATGACGATGTTCTTGAACAGCAATGGCGTCGTGAACAAGACCGTACATGCATTGGGCATCATTTTTTTCTGCAGAATAATATACATCAGGTAGATAAAAATACCTTTCTGCAAATGGTGTTTGAAGCATGCATTACAGATTTACAGTTATGGTGAAAGTACACACATACAGAGCCTTGATAATTGAAATTCTCCATCTCCATTAAGCATTATTATAGCTCTCTAAAGCATTGCCCTGCTTAGAAGAAACCAGCCATAAGGGATCTGATGATCTCCCAACAATAATACTACAAAACTAAATTAAAGTTCCAAGGCACCAAAAGAATTATTAACTCACTCTTCAATATCTAATTGTAGCTTCTGAACAGAAATTACTGAATGTTGCAGAGTCAGGTTTGTTACCTGAAATAGAAGAGCACGGACAAGTTAAGTTCTCCACCGCAAGACCCTCGCTCAATTGGATGCAAGAGTTCTTTCTCATATCTGAAAATTCATGTCTCTTAAGAGTGTGTTTCTTTTTATGGGGTTAAAAAAAATTTGATTTGAATTTAATATTAAAATAGTGTACGATGGAATGTTTTGTGTGGGAAACGCAGACTTCAAATAATAGAAAATTAGAGTTTGGGGTAAAGAAACACACCCTATGTACTACATTCGCCAATAGGTGCTCGCTCAAGCGTAGATGCAGCACGAAAGACTTCCCATATGCTTATCAAGAATGTCAAAAGGCCTAAACTTTACCTATCATATCGATTTAGACAAAATAAGATGCTGATTTAACAGTTGAGAATGCTCAAAATTAAATAAGGAATTATAATGCCTAACCTTGGCAAAAAAATGTAGCTAAAAAGTATCTTAAGCTAGTCAATACTTTAATCTTCTCAGATATATGAGATGATGCAGAACAATAAAGCTTCTAGAAAATCATGTAGCAGTTGAGCACTACCATTAGCAAAAGCATAAGGTCCCCGTTCATATACATGAAGATGCATTTTCGGGTTGTTGAGAAATTGTTACAAAATAATCGCAAGTTCCAATACAAAATAAACGGAGTTCCATACTAACCTCAGCACTGGGTTGCCAAAATCTAAATGCTTCTGGAAGTGTGCTCTCAATAATATGTTCCATTACATAAAAAATTCTACATGTCTCTGGCGTAGACCTCCATGTTGAGAATGATACATTATTTTCAATCTAAATAATCAATGAACAGAAACAGAAACAGAATCATTCTGACTATATTCTTCACTCTCACTGACAGATAAAGAAAAATGATGAAATACATTATTACAGAAATAGCAAGGGTTATCACAAATGATTGAAGAAATGCATAATTACTACCACAAACTTTTAACCAAAATATATTTATATAAGACGGATCTTGGAACCAACTAGTCAAACTATCCCCCTTTTCATCCCTCCCCATCCAAAGTGCATTCCAAACCCATTTCACCTCAGATAAAAAACCAACCAAGGATCCCTAACTTCACATAAAAATAATGAGCAAACAGTAAACAATTACCCAATATTGAATCTATACGCAGATGATCAGTTGAGAGAAGACGGCCGCAGCAGACGGCAACAGTAGGGGTAGGCAAAATATCCCTCTCCCCATCCCACCAACAATATTGAAAACATCATATAACAAAACAATATTCACTCATATATTAAGGGGAAAAAAAGAAAATAACATTAATAATAAGTTGATTGAAAGAATTTGTTTCCATATAAAAAAGCATTACTGGAGCGCACCTGTTGCATCCATCCATCATGATTCTCTCTCATTTTCTTCCCATTCACCACATAATCCAATTATCATTTCAAGACAGACAGACCAAACATGATTGATACCCCTGCTGTAAAAAACTTTTAATTAAGAATAACAGGGCAGGGATGACCCTCCCTGCTGTCTGGTGTGTTGTTGCATTCAATTGAATGGATGTTGGAATTGTTCTCATTATCTCCCCTAATTGGAATAAATATTCAAGAAGAGCTTGTGCGTGATCTTCTTCCTACCTTTATTGATTTGGCTTTCCAACTTTCAAGATACACGACACCCACCAATATGAGACCCATTTAGCTTCCTACATTACCAAAAGATGAACCAACTTTAACTGTGGGCTCGAACTTTGCAGCAAATGCTAATGTTGACCGGACTGCAAAACTAGGTGTATTTGGCAGGAATGATGTTTTCAAAGAGCTGCTTAAATCTGCATCTTTCGGACCAACAGATTGACTCTCAGTCCTACTTGAGGAATATGATGATTTTGGTATTTCAGTGGATTCAGGAAGCTGGCTCGACTTGCCTTGCCTCTCTTTAATGAATGACAATGCAGCGCCACCAAAGCTGGAAAGAAGAGTATCTTGCTTCTTTGAACCATAGGAATGAATCTTGTCGAAAGGAGAGAAATTTATGTTTTGCTGTACACACATCCCACCTCCATTTATGTTTTCCTTCGCACCCTGTATGCGTAGAGAACTCTGGTTTGTCTGGCAATTGACATCTTCAAGAGTTCCACTACTCCCGAAAAAAGAGCCAGTCACTTTACCTTCACAGGCATCTTCCATGACTGATTTCCCTGTCAAAATATTGTGTTTAGAAAGTAAACCCGATATAATCTCACTAGTGGAACCATCAGCAGGTGGTTTGGAAAAGGAGAGAAAATTTAATCCCCTTGGTTTCTTCAAAACTGCTCTCTCAGGCAACTCATTCATCTTATCAGCACTTATGGAACCTTTGGCTGTTTCACTACCACCAACACTTGTTTTCAAAGTTGATCCGCCTTGTTTGATACCACTGCTTTCACAACATGAGATCTCTTCATTCAAATGGAAGCTTACTCCTTTGGGTACTTTCCCAGTAGTTTTTGAGGCCGGTCCAATACTCTGATGCAGGGAGTTCTCAGCAGAAAATAATTTAGTATCAAGTTTCTGACTAAACAAGCCATGCTTATTGGCTATCTTGCTACAGTCTGAGTTTTCCAGTGATGACGGCAACTTCACTGCAGGCATGGGGAGCTTTGATGCTGTGGATCCTTCCTTTATCAACACAGTACGCTGCACAGAAGTGCACTCAGGTTTGGAGGTGTTTGGTGCTGCAGAGAGATTCTGATTGGCTGGTATCTGAGACATTGTTTTCGGAATTACTTGTGATGTAGGGAAGAAAGCTGTAAAAGGATATACTTCATGGCCATATATTAAACAATCAGAAGTTACATAAGAAAATGGTTACCTCATGTGAGAACAAGCAGTCAGATCCTCTACTGCAAAAACCCTGTGTAGCATAGTTGTTGCATGGGTACTTAGAGAGATCATGGTCAAAAGGACAGTCATCTCCTTTCATGCAGGAATGACGGGCATAATGACCACATGGCTGCAAGCAATAACAAAAGCAGTGTCAGAAACTACAAAACCATGAAACTCAAGATGAAAGTTAGACAACCAAGACATTTCCATGAAACTATGCAGTACATGACTTACAGATACGTATTGATTAAATATGCTACACTAGTTAGACATTTGGTGAAAGTTTATTACAAGGATGAATAAGGGACAAATGGCCTATAAAATGACATTATGAAATAATTTTCTATTAGCCCATAATTGTTTATTAGGGAACAAAAGGGATACGTTTCAAAAGCTTGGATCAAGATCATTCACTTAAAATTATCACATTTGACAACTAACTGCATACATCTGTCAAGTAACATACGCAGAAAAAATGTACAGCTGCTCAAGCATACCTTAGACTTTGTCAAGGGAACTGCATCATGCGAGAATTTGCATTTCTCACCCTGTAGAAACAAAATAATGATCAGAGCAAGTTAGAAAACCTTTTCTTCAGAAATCATATGATTCACTTCTTTATTGGGAAATTACAGAAGAATAAAGCAACTAAAAGAGAAATCAGCACACTGAACAACTTAGTTACAAGATATCGGACAACCTCACGGCATCTTCCTTGAAGGTAATGTCGGCAATACGCTATCTTCTTCTTTTTTGTAATTGGAGGCAGCTTTAATCTTTTAACCCCAAGTTTTATGTTCTTTTCTGCTCGTTTGATTCTCTCTTTTTTCTGCTGACCAATATTGTGTGGCCACAAATAATGGTAAGAACTAGATATAGTAAGACATGTTAAAAGTGATAATTTAGTGTAGTAAATTTCTTTTGTAGACGTACCTTCTTTTTAGCTCTCTTTTCCTTAGTCAAAGGACCCTTCTTCCTTTTTTTCTTCATATCTCCATTCTGCAAAAAATTGGATGCCAAATTTTACCAACTATTTAAATAGCATGTACCATGAAAATTGTGCCAGTATAAACACTGTTTGTGTGGCACTGGAAAATATTCACATTGTACGATACCAATGAGAAATGAACCTAAAGAACAGGTTCCAAGCAATTCAAGAAAAAATAGAGAAGTGTCAGGAAACATGTTACAAACCATTTCAATGGTATCCGACAACTGACTTTCAGCAGCGTTCTGTTGTAGAATTATGTCACTTGGAGTTCCATTTTTCACACAAGGAACTCTAGGGCCGCTGCTTCGAGTCCCTGCTTCCCCATCAGAAACAACATTGTTTTCAGAACTACCTTGTACATGTGCAGCAGCTGTTCTGCTTTCCATCCTTGTACAATTATTGTCTCTATTCACTAATCCATCTAGTGATGCAACAGCCATTTCATGCTGCATATCCTCACGAACTTCAGCATCACAAATGAATTCTTCTTTACCGGGAACTGCCTGTGAAGCGGTCTCCATTTCAACAGTTTTTCCTTGCATTAATACAACATCTTCAGATAACGTATCAAATGATGCATCAATAGCCATGAAGTCATCGGAGATTTCTCCCTCTTCCATTTCACCATTTGTATTTGGACAAGAAGTTAGCTCCACCACTCCTGAGTTGTAAATGAGCTTCTCCAGTTCCATCTGCTTTAGTTGCAATTCAAGCACAGACTTCTTATGTGTGCCCTCCTCTAAAACCATACCATTCTCCTGATTCCCCGACACAGTATCTGATCTGTGAACAACCATATCCATGTCAAAGCAAGAGTCGAAAATTTCAGAAAAATCACTAACAGAAAAATCTTTGTCCACTTCAAGCTGCTCCAATGCACCCAAGTCCCCCATCTGAATGTCAATCATGCTGTTTGCAATAGTTTGCTCCTTGTCACTTCGAATAGCACAATCTCCTCTTTGGTTCCCATCTGTTAAAAGATCCACAGCCCTGCTTGTACTTGATGGAGCTATGTCCTGCTTCCCATCGTGTTTTAGGTTAATGTGATCCAAATTTGATCCTACTGTATGTTCATCACAATTAACTTCTTGAAGACCAAAGTTATCTTTGTGTTCGCCAGTAGAAATTTCTTGAACTAATTCATTCCTTGAATCTGTGCCATGGGCAGGTGGACCTAATAAATCAGTGAAAATCACTTTATCATCATTGATTGATAGATTTTCTTCAGACACTGGTCTTGATTCCGTATGGCCACTATCAACTGCACCAAAGGCAAGCAAAAACAAACAAGTAAAGATTCCACGAAAGGGTAAAGCCCCCAAAATCTGATCGCATAATGTATTTGAACTTTCAAGAAATCATGTCAAGTAAACTCCTAATAACCAAACATTGCACTGAGGTCCAAATAAACACAAACCTTAATTTCCAACTAGAAAAACCAAAAGTGATTGCTCAAACCCCATGTAGAATTAATTGTAAATTTGTAATGAACGCAAAAAAACATACTCTCACACCAATACTACCTTGCGTTTGCTGCTGAAGAGGAACGGAATGGCAGTGAAAAAGTATTCCAATAAGAGTCCGATAAGTGCGGCTAACAAGTGGCCGCCGGCGGTGCGGAGGGAATGAAATTGCGGCGGTTTCTGAGAGGTTTGGAGGCTCAGTTTGCACCATGTTTCGCCAACTCGGCCCTTGCAGAACTGTATCAGCAAAGCGGAACACCAAACCACGACACGATCAACAAACGAATATAACAACTAATTCGTGAATGAATCCTCTGGCCCTCGTCGATCTTCGATCCGCCTTTGGACATCGGAGGAGAAGGTGGGCGGGGTATGATTCAATATAATCAATTATGTTGTTATAAAATAAATTTAATATATATTTAAATATTTTAAATATTGTATTATAAAAAAAATATACTTATTATGAAAAATACAGTCATTTATTATAAATTACTAATTTATAAAAGAAAAGGGTTTTAAATATCTGATAAAGAATATTTATATTTAAAAAGATATATATAATAATTTTTTAAATAAATTTTATTTACAAATAATTACATTAATTTATATTTATTTACATGTTCCTCGACGCCGAGGATAGCTCCGAAGAGCGGGAAATTTCGGGACATTTTGAATAAAAAATTTTTACTCAACATTTAAATGCATCAATACTCAGTAAATATTACTGTTTCCGTCGTACAAATATATATTTATTTGGCAAATTTTTTAATAAAAGTAAATAATAATTATTTTTTTATATAATAAAAAATACAAAAATATAATAATTTTTTACTTAAAAATAAAACAAAAATAATTTTTTTTATTATGACAACTCGGAAAAAAAAAGCATAGATTCAAACGATAAAAAAATATTAAAAAATATAATTATAAACATGTTACGGTATATATTATTCAGTCATGAAAATTAACCATTCAATAGTAATATAGTTCTCGTACCACACTAAAAGAATAAATTCATCTACACGTGTGAACAGATTGATTAAATATATATTTGTATTTAATAAATTTTATGAGTATTAAAAAAAAATAACATCCAATTTAAATTTTTATTATTTATATTTAAATAAAAGACATGTAAAAATCAATTCGTTGAAATTAAAATCAATCCATTTTAATTTTGAATGTAACGGTACTCAAAACGCGCAGCTTCAAATATCCAAATTCAAATTTAAAATATAAATAAATAGATAAATATATTATTATTATTATTATTGCATTGCATTGCGAGTAGGCTTTAGTCTCCCAGTGTTTTGAAGTCGCCATCGTCGTCGTCTTCAAGCATGTTAACCCACGCCTCGATCCCTTTCCCGTCGGCTCTGCTCATCAGTATCACGATGTTCTTGAATGGAAATATCGTCGTGCACACCCACGCCGGTTTCCCCCACCCGAAGTCCGTCCCGTACACCGGAAATCCACACCAACTGCTGAAACTGCACACCGATGCTCCTTCCTTCTTCGTAATCGCTATGCTCTGCCTTAGGGTTTGGTATTCTCCTCCGCCGCTCCTCTGGATTTCCCCTATATATTCGCCGTCGATTTTTCTGAATGCGTTCCTCAGAAGCTCTGCTAGACGGTGCAATTCGTGCTCTCCGTCACCGTCGGCGACGTACGCCGGCGATAATACGTAGCAATTGCCGAAGGCTTGGAGCGGAGGATCCGCCATTCGAGGCCTCAGATTCACCGGATGAACTGCTGCGAACGTCCTGCATCCATTGCGCCGATGGTGTTCGATGAAATGCCTCCAAATCGAAGCCGAAACAGCCTCCACTCTGCTCGGATCCTTCACCTTCGATCCTTCCGCCGTCGCGATTTCAGCCCTCAACGACGCCAATTTCTGATCATCGTAAATGAATCTTCTCGTCACAATTTTCTCACGGTAGATGAACTTGGACGGCGACAGATCAGGTTCAGGCAGATCTATAGGGCGGAATTGCTCCGCCAGGACATGGAAGTTCGGAGCAACTACTCCGGCAGCTTCGCCGCGGCTAATCGCCGCCCAAGCTTGCACAAATTTCGACAACGAATTTCCGTCGGCTACTTTGTGCGACAGGCAAACCGCCATGGCGATTCCTCCGCAATCGAAGAGGTTAGCCTGCACAAGCAGGACAGTTGCTTCCCCCTGATGAGGATGATCCTGTGGCTGCACAGGCAGGTACTCTCTAAGCTCATCCATATCACAATTCTCTATAATATCTGCTAGCTTTCTGTGAACCATAGCTTCAATGAATTCGGCGCCATTGTCATTGCAATCGATGAATCGATTGCCGTCTCGAATTCTCCCCGCGATCGGATAGAATATCGTCAGAGCATCGGACAAGGATTTCTTGAGCCGGAGGAGTATGTCAGTGGGGCAAAATTGGTCGGATTGATCATCTGTGTAGAAGTATATTATGGGAGTGTAGATTGGGACAGCAATTTGATCGAGAAATGAAAGTTTCAATTCCCGGATGTGCGGCTCCGCGGGAGACGACGGCAGGATTGTTTCTTTGGAGATGATCTCGACTCGGTTCGCCATTGTTGCAACATGTAAGTTCTTTCTTGCTTGAATTTAGTTTGCATGTCGTCGTTTTTATACTGTTTATTATTTACATGGTTTGTCTTTGCTTAATGATATTACAAATTTACAATACAATGTTATGCTAATTTAGTACTTAGATTATAAGATCGATTATAACATATTATCATAATAGTAATATTTGAATATTAATTATTATTATATCAAAATTAATTATAAGAAAAAATTGAAAAAATATTTGTCGGATATCTGTTGAAAAAAAAAAACATCAGACATAGCATTATAACATAATATTATAGTAACTAATATCCTTTTGCTAATATATACTATTTCTTTCGTCTCAATTGAAATAGACATTTTGTAATTTCGTACTAAATTATAAAATAATAATATTTTATTAGTTAATAAAAGTATTTAAAAAATTTTAATATTTTTGTCTTTTAATTTTATATAAATTGTAATTTTATGTTTGTAATTTAAATAAAAATTTAAAAAATATTATAGTATTAGCATATAATTATTTTTTTTAAAAAAAAAACACTTTTTGACAATGGAACAGACAAAATAGTAAAAATATTACTTTGAATTGGGATAAAAAGAATATTATCATACTATATCATTATATACATTATCCTTTTGTTATCTAGTATATATCTACATTACATTATCTTCAGTATCTAATATCATTATGGTAGTATATAATTACATAACATTATATTTTTGTTGCATATACCTGCGTAACATTATTCTATATCTAAATACTTTTTATGTTTTACATAAAATGTCGATTTTTTTATTTTATTCTTTCTTATATAATTTGTCTCATTTTTTTTATTAAAAAAATAATTATACATTTTAGTTACATTTTAAATTTTATAGTTTATAATTATTAATTTTTTTGAAATTTTAGTTAAATATTTAGTTAATTTTAATTTATAATTATTTGTATTACACAATAATTATTTTCATTAATATATTTTTTAATTATTCATTAATTATATTTTCTCTAAATTTTTCGTGTCTACTGTAATATAGATATTTTTATGAGACCAAAGTTACAATACAACATAATTTTAGTGAAGAAGGGGGTATGTGTTAATTAAACATAGAACAATTTAAATATCACAAAAACAACAATTCAATAATAGAAACAACAACTTTTGCTTCTCAATCAAATTGTTGTCCCAATCTACGACAATTCAATAAATGGGTGTTAATGTAATATTTTAAATATAAAATTGATTATTAGTATAATATAAAAAAATAAAAAATACCTCCTCCGCGAGTAATGAACCCTTTTTATTAGGGACACGATTTTTTAGGTAATGTGGATTAGTAAATTATTAATAATAAGTTATAATATTAGTTTATTATTTTTTATATGAATAATATTATTGGTATTTTAAAAAATTTTAAGATTATATCTAAAAAAAATATATGCAATATGGATATTATTTTGTAGATAATAAAATTTTGTAAAATTTAAAGGGGTTTTGAGTGGATCTTACGTGTAAGATGTTAAAAGTTTAATTAAATTGAAGTATATTTGTTAAGTATGTCTAAGATTGAAAAAATTATCAAAAATGAAAAAAAGTCATCTTTTGTGGGACGTAAAACAAGAAAAATGGATCATATGTGACGGGACGGAGAGAGCAAATATTTTGATTGAATAACTTTTGAATTTTTTTTTTTATAAATAGTAAAAATTTATAAAACTCTTCTAAACGAACAAACCCTAGGCTATTCTTATCATTTTCATAATATATAAAATCTAGTATTCTTTTAGTAGTATATAATCTACATAACATTATATCTAAGTACCAAATTTACAATACAATTCAGTTTTATTGTATTCATATTCTTTTCATAGTATATAGTAAGTACTCTTTTTCTTTCACTTTTGTCATTTTTTTTATAGAAAATTATTATAAACTTTAATTATATTTTAAATTTTATAATTTATATATATATATTTTTTTTAATTCTGATTGAATTATTGACTAAATTGCACAAAATTCACTCGTAGTTTCATGGAATTGCACGAAATTCTCCATGCTTTTAAAATTATATCAACCTCTCTCGAACTCTGCATCTAACCCCATCGGCCCTCCTTATTTATCGGTTTATGAAGTTCATAATACTCATTTCTAAACTCCTAAAGTTATAAATATAGTTATTTCTAAACTCCTAAAGTATTATAAAATTCATTCGTAGTTTGAACGCGAGTAAGTAAAAAATTGATAGATAAGGATGACCGAGTTAGATGCAAAGTTAATGAAATACGAAGTTTGAAGCAGTTTTAAAAATATGAGAATTTTGCACAATTTTGTAAAACCAAATGTGCTTTTTATACAATTTAGCCTAAATTATTGGATAATTTTAATCTTAATTTATAATTATTTCTATTATACAATAATTATCTTTATTAATACATTTTTTAATTATTTATTAATTATACATTTTTTTAATCACACGAGCTCAAAATTAATTAATTAATTAATTAATTAATATTATTATTATTATTATTATTATTAATTAATTATTATTATTATTATTATTATTATTGCATTGCATTGCGAGTAGGCTTTTTAGTCTCCCAGAGTTTTCAAGTCGCCATCGTCGTCGTCTTCAAGCGTGTTCACCCACGCCTCGATCCCTTTCCCGTCTGCTCTGCTCATCAGTACCACGATGTTCTTAAACGGCAATATCGTCGTGCACACCCACGCCGGCTTCCCCCACCCGAAGTCCGCCTCGTACACCGGAAATCCACACCAACTGCTGAAATTGCACACCGATGCTCCTTCCTCCTTCATTATCAACATCCTCTGCCTTTCGGTTAGGTATTCTCCTCCGCCGCTCCTCTGGAATTCCCCTATATATTCGCCGTCGATTTTTCTGAATGAGTTCCTCAGAAGCTCTGCTAGACGGTGCAATTTGTTCTCTCCGTCGCCGTCGGCGTACGCCGGCGATAACACGCAGCAATTGCCGAAGGCTTGGAGCGGACAACCCGCCATTCGAGGCCTCAGATTCACCGGATGAAACGCCGCTATCTTCGTGCATCCATTGCTGCGATGGTGTTCGATGAAATGCCTCCAAATCGAAGCCGAAACAGCCTCCACTCTGCTCGGATTCTTCACCGTTGATCCTTCCGCCGTCGCGATTTCAGCCTTCAAAGACGCCACTTTCTGTTCATCGTAAACGAATCTTCTCGTCACAATTTTCTCACGGTGGATGAACTTGGACGGCGACAGATCAGGTTTAGGCAGATCTATAGGGCGGAATTGCTCCGCCAGGATATGGAAGCTCGGAGCAACTACTCCGGCAGCTTCGCCGCGGCTAATAGCCGCCCAAGCTTGCACAAACTTCGACAATGAAGTTCCGTCGGCTACTTTGTGTGACAGGCAAACCGCCATGGCAATTCCTCCGCAATCGAAGAGATTAGCCTGCACAAGCAGGACAGCTCCTTCCCCCTGTTGAGGATGATCCTGTGGCTGCACAGGCAGGTACTCTTTAAGCTCATTCATATCAGGATTTTCTATAACATCTCTTAACTGACTGTGAACCATAGCTTCAATGAATTCGGCGCCACTGTCATTGCAATCGATGAACCGATTGCCGTCTCGAATTCTCCCGGCGATCAGATAGAACATCGTCAGAGCATCGGACAAGGATTTCTTGAGCCGGAGGATTAAATCAGCGGGGCAAAACTGGTCGGATTGATCAGCTGTGTAGAAGAATATTATTGGAATGTAGATTGGGGCAGCAATTTGATCGAAAAATGAAAATTTCGATTCCCAGATGTGCGGCTCCGCTGGAGACGACGGCCGGATTATTTCTTTGGAGATGATCTCGACTCGGTTCGCCATTGTTGCAACTTGTAAGTTCTTTCTTGCTTGAATTTAGTTTGCATGTCGTCGTTTTTATACTGTTTATTATTTGCGTGGTTTGGCTTTGCTTACACGAAATTACAACTTTGGAATATGCTAATTTAGTACTTAGATTATAAGATAGATTATAACATATTATAATATTATACAATACTAATATAATAAATATAATATTATAGTATTCATATCAAAGTAACATTATAATATAACATTATAACTAGTATCCTTTTGTATTTATTGTAGAGATATACAACCAAAATACTTCCTCCGGCCCTTATTTATTTACCCGTTCGCTTTTTGTATCTAGTTTATTGTGTGATATAAAAATAATGATATTTGTATAATATATTGTAAATTGTAAGGATATTTTTAACGTTACTAAAAAGTACAATTACTAAAAAAATAAAATGAATACTTTGTTAAGAGATGGACCAAAATAAAAAATTGAATAAATTATTAAAAGACGGAGGAAATATAATGCAATATAGATATATATTACCAAAATGATATTATTTATATCTACATAACATTATAACATAACATTATATTATACTTTTGGTAGTATATATATATATATAGTAAATTATCTCTAGTCCATAACATTGTATTCCTTCCGTTCCGCAAGAAGGTTGTCATTTGATTTTTGTATCATTATATTTAATATTAAATTTTTTTTTGTATTTGAATAATTTACTCGAAAAATATCATTATATATGTATTATAAGAGACTAATAAATATATTTTTGTTTTTTTTTTCTTGATTTGTATTACGTATTGATAATATAATTAATATTCAATGATCAACATGAAAAAAACAATAATAACCTTGTGAAACAGAGGGAGTATTATACTTTTTGTAGTATCTATATATATTACATTATGCCTAGTTCATAATATTATATTATACTTTTGGTAGTATATATATATATATATTACATTATCCCTAGTCCATAACATTATATTTTACTTTTGGTAGTATATATATATATATATATATATTACATTATCCCTAGTCGATAACATTATATTATACTTTTGAAAGGGTATATTTGGATTTTGCAGTACATTAACAAATAATAGTATTTTAGTTGTCAGTGTAAGTGTAAAATATTATTACATTTTTGTTTTTTGATTTTATGTAAAAAATAATTGTATGTTTAATAATATTGTTGAAATTTAAATAAAAGTTAAAATGATATTTTAGTATTAATGTACAATTAATTTTACTTAAAAATAAAAAGAATACTTTTGAGTGGGACAGACGAAAATTGTAAAAGAAAATTGTAAAAAAAAAATAAAAAATTGAATTGGAATAGAAAGAGTATCAATTTGGTGGCATATATCTAGATGACATTATACTACTTCCTCCGTCCAATTTCAATTGTCCTAAAGTATATTTGCACGGTTTTTTTAAGTGATTGTTTTTTTTGTTATGAATGGACAAATTTGTCCTTAAGTGTATGGTAGAGATTAAAAGAATAAATGAATGAAGGGTAAAAATATAAAATTTGTGTTTAAAAAAAAGTAAATAGGACAATAGTTGTTGGACGTCCCAAATAGGAAAGTAGGACATTAGTTTGTGGACGGATGGAGTATTTTGGTAGTATATCTACGTAACATTATATCTAGGACTAAAGTTACAACACTATAATTTTAGGTAGGAACAATTTATGTGTTGATTATAGTTGATTAGAAATTAGCAAACTTTAAGCAGTAAGAAAATAAAATTTTAAGTTCAATAAAGTTTAAGTTCAAAATAATTTAATACCCAAAAAACAAAGTTTAAACATAAAAAAGCAAGTTCAAAACTAAGAACATAAAATTTTAGATTCAACACAGTTGAACGTACGAAACAACTTAAATAACAAAAAAGCAACAACTTAATCTTCAAAACAACAATTTATTTCTCTTAATTAACCATTGTATTTATATAAAAATAAAAAACATAAAAAAAAACATAAAGTACGATAACATTTTATAATGTCGTAGCCGCCTCAAATTTAGGGTATTTATTTATTTTTTTTTTATATATGACGTGGGAATCCGCAGCCGCTATTCGAAAATGCATACTGGATAAATCTCCGACCAAACTTAATACCTTGCAAACTAGACCTGACATGCAAGTCACACTAGGCGAACCATGTGTGACAGATGACCTGAGGCGTCGGGGGTTTGAACCCATAACCTCACGGCGATATCTTTTTTGTAGTATATAATGTACATTATATTATACCTAATACCAAATTTAGAATACAATACAATTTTAGATTGTGTTCATTCTGCGGATTCCCGAGCATTTTTCTTATAAAATTACTGTATTGACATACCATTTGAAAAACTCTACCCTACACCCTACCCTTTTTCGTCTTCCCCATATACAGAACAACGACAATGGCTCCCTTTTTTATGGTCTCCCGGTTAGATTAATGATTTTTCATCAACGGATCTAAAAAATAATTATACAAATTATGAGGCAAAAAAATCGAAATATCTGACCATGACTTCTTGCAGGCTAGGGTCATCTCTCTCTCCTCTCTCTCTTTTCTTTCTTCTTTAATTTTGATTATTTTGGATATAAAACTTTTTGAACACATCGGATTTGTGAGACATTTTAAAGAACAACCATTGCGGTTGCTCTCACTTGTGTGGAGGTCTTGTTGGCTGAAAGATTGAATCTTGAAACAGTAAAATCGAATTTATCATTTCTTTTACTTATAGAATTAACTTGAATTTTATTATTATTATTATCAATCAAATCAAATTTTATATCAACTATCATTCACAAAATTATTTTAATAATATAAAATATTCAAATTAGTCCAGCCATTATTCACAAAATTATTTTAGATTGGTCCAGTCAAGCTAGCTATATATTGTGTGTATTATAGACACTTTTCTACTTAAGGTGGTAAGATGATGCTCTATTTGCTATAGGTGGCTTTTTCAATTCCTTCACCAACTTTGTTTAGAATCAACAAAGATTTCGTCGCACATTACATATCCGGTTTACTATAGACACGAAAATTTAAAATAAGTATAATTAGTAAATAATTAATAATATATTAGTTAAAATAATTATATTATAATATAAATAATTATAAATTAAGATTAAAATTAAAAAATTTTAAATTAAAAAATAAAATTAAAGTTGTAATTATTTTTAATAAACAAAAATAATATGAGATATGAAATAGAGATAAACAATAATATGGACACGAACACAGTAGAGCAGAAAGAATATTATTCAAACCAATATTCAAATATCCAAATTCAATTAAAAGAAAAACATCCACGCGAGCTCAAAATTAATTAATCATTATTATTATTATTATTATTATTATTATTATTGCATTGCGAGTAGCTAGGCTTTAGGCTTGCAGTGTTTTCAAGTCTCCACCATCGTCGTCTTCAACCATGTTAACCCACGCCTCGATCCCTCTCCCCTCAGGTCTGCTCATCAGTATCACGATGTTCTTAAACGGCAACAATGTCGTGCACACCCACGCCGGCTTCCCCCACCCGTAGTCCACCTCGTACACCGGAAATCCACACCAACTGCTGAAATTGCACATCGCCGCTCCTTCCTTCTTCATAATCACTATCCTCTGCCTTAGGGTTAGGTATTCTCCTCCGCCGCTCCTCTGGATTTCCCCTACATATTCACCGTCGATTTTTTTGAATGCGTTCCTTAGAAGCTCTGCTAGACGGTGCAATTCGTGCTCACCGTCGGTGACGTACGCCGGCGTTAACACGTAGCAATTGCCGAAGGCTTGGAGCGGAGAATCCGCCATTCGAGCCCTCAGATTCACCGAATGAACCGCCGCGACCTTCGTGCATCCATGGCGCCTATGGCGTTCGATGAAATGCCTCCAAATCGAAGCCGAAATAGCCTCCACTCTGCTCGGATTCTTCACCGTTGATCCTTCCGCCGTCGCGATTTCAGCCTTCAGCGACGCCAATTTCTGTTCATTGTAGATGAATCTTCTCGTCACGATTTTTTCACCGGAGATGACATTTGACGGCGACGGATGAGGTTCAGGCAGATCTATAGGGGGGAATTGCTCTGCCAGGATATGGAAGTTCGGAGCAACTACTCCGGCAGCTTCGCCGCGGCTAATCGCCGCCCAAGCTTGCACAAACTTCGACAACGAAGTTCCGTCGGCTACTTTGTGCGACAGGCAAACCGCCATGGCAATTCCTCCGCAATCGAAGAGATTAGCCTGCACAAGCAGGAGAGCTCCATCCACCTGTTGATGATGATCCTCTGGCTGCACAGGTAGGTACTCTTTAAGCTCATCCGCATCAGGATTCTCTATAACGTCTCTTAGCTGTCTGTGAACCCTAGCTTCGATGAATTCAGCGCCATTGTCATTGCAATCGATGAATCGATTGCCTTTTCGAATTCTCCCAGCGATCGGATAGAACATCGTCAGAGCATCGGGCAAGGATTTCTTGAGCCGGAGGATGATATCGGCAGGGGAAAACTGGCAGGATCGATCAGCTGTGTAGAAGAATGTTAAGGGAATGTAGTTTGGGACAGCAAGTTGATCGAGAAACGAAAATTTCCGGATGTGCTGCTCCGCCGGAGACGACGGCCGGATTGTTTCTTTGGAGATGATCTTGACTCGGTTCGCCATTGTTGCAACTTGTAAGTTCTTTCTTGCTTTATTTCAGTTTGCAGGTCATCGTTTTTATACTGTTTATTCTTTACATGGTTTGTCTTTGCTCACACGATATTACTAATAAAAATACAATGTTATGATAATTTAGTACTTTAGATTATGATTATACAATACAATATTACCATTTATATCTGCGTAACATTACATTACAGTACTTCATATCTCATCCAAATTTATTCATATTTTTCGTATTTAATTGTTATTTAAATTTATTTCAGTTTTTTTTTAATAAAAAATTATTACAGGAACGTGATTTAAATAATATTATAGTTGGTAAAAAAATATAAATAAAAGACTTTTTTGTCCTTACAAGTATATTAATATAAAAAGTAGTGACAATAAAAATAAAAAAATAGAGGTAGTTTTACGGTGATATTGTTATTTATGAAAATAAGACTATTATTTTGAGACGAATAAAAATGATAAACAATACTATTGTATTGAGACGGAGGGAATATTTTTTTCTAATTTTTTTATTATAAAATAAAATAAAATTAATTTTAGCTACTTTTCTTTGGATTAGATGGAAATAAGTTCATATGATAAAAGAAGTATCTAGTATCCTTTGTTATCTAGTATATTTTGGTAGTATATATCTACATTACATTATTTTTAGTATCTAATACTCTCTCCCCCATTGCAGTTATTTATATTTTCGTTTGTTTTATATAATTTTTTATTTTTATTTTTAAAAAAAATATAATTATATACTTTAATTATATTTTAAAATTTATAAGTTATAATATTTTTTTAATTTTAATTAAAGTATTTAGTCATTTTAATATTAATTTATAATTATTTTTATTAAATCATAATTATTAGTATTAATCATAATCATTATAATCATCATCTAGAGAATTACTAATTGTATTGATTAATAGGATATTAATTGATAAATTAATTGTACTATAATAAATTAATTTATTTGAATATGGAGTTGGGTAGAATAAAGTAACTCCCTCCAAGTTTATGGTTTAGGCTTATTACTATATTCTAGCCCAACATTAATATGGGCCCCATCTAGATTTGCTAGTTTGGATCCGATCCAAACCCTTTCTAATTTATCTACCTCGGCTGGTTTAGGCCTGTTATGTCCGGCCCTACTTGAACCCGATCAAATGGACCGGGTCCGGGTGTACATGCACCATGAATCCGAACCCGCGAAAACCAAAACCTTCCGAACCCAATTTCCCGCCAAATCCCATACCCTACTGGAGTTTTCTTCTTGCCTCCATTTCCACGAGGAAGACGGAATTATTCCTGAAACCCTAGCTAACAAGCGAAGCAGGAATGAAGATCCGAACGATGAAGCTGTTGGAAGCGCACAAGAGCGCCGACGATGGCCGGGGGGCCATGTGCTCCATCGCCTGGTCTGCCCGTGGCGACCACCTTGTTACAGCGTCCTCAGCCGACAATTCGATCTGCATTCACGATGTGTCTTCGCCGTCGAACAAGCCCAAGTGTCTCCGAAATCACCGCGAGGGTGTCACGGCGTTGGCCCTCAGTCCAAATTCCACCTGCCTTGCTTCGGGTTCGATGGATCATTCTGTCAAGCTTTACAAATTTCCTGGTAACGTGCTTTTTCAGTGCTTCTCAGTTCCGATCGATTTTTACTGTGCTATAGAATGTGTCGAAGTGTTTGTTTACTTGTTTTGTGGATGGAATTTCTTGGTGTGAAATTTAGGGTTCTTTGGAACTTAAAAAATTATAATGAGAAAATGAGATTGGGGTTTCAAGAATTGGGAGGCCACAAGCTAATAAATTATTAGTTATTAAATGTTATTTCATCTTCACTTTGAAACTGATTTGGTTTTGTTCTCAAAACGAGAAGTAATGTAGATCTTGGCTTGTTTTAGTGTTTTCGGATGTTTTACATTTGAAATTTATTTATTTGAAAACCCTTCTTGAATGTGTTTTCAATATAAAACTTAAGCGGTTTTGAAAGCGATGATTTTTAGGGAGAAAATATAATGTTGAAAATATCCATTACACACCCAATACAAGGTCAAAGAGCAGAGCAGGAACAACTCATTATTCGTCGTGTTCCCTTTAAGAATAAAGGTAGAGTTCATCTTGAGATATTGTTTAGCAGTGAGGATCTACAACAAATGAATTTTAGCTTGGTTGATGGATGTTTGTTCCTAAGTACATCAAGCCATTAGACTTTGATAATTCATTCCCATATGTATGTAATATAACCGGACTATACGGTATTTTGAATTGTTGTGCTCATGGTGCTACTCTGGGTAATGTGTAGGAGGAGAGTTTGAGTCTAATATCACTAGATTCACATTGCCCATTCGTGCTGTTGCTTTCAACAAGTCGGGAGCAATCTTGGCTGCTGGTGGCGATGATGAGGACATTAAGCTTGTCAATACTATCGATGGAACCATAGCAAGGGTTCTTAAAGGGCATAAGGGACCTGTCACTAGCTTGGCTTTTGATCCTAAAGGTGAATACTTGGCGTCGCTTGATTCAGAAGGAACTATCATTTACTGGGAACTTTTCTCCGGAAGCACACTGCATGTTCTTAAAGCTGTAGCTCCTGACAATGGCGTTGATGTTTTATTATTGAACATACTTGCATGGAGTCCGGATGCAGAAATGTTAGCAGCACCAGGTAGGAAAAATGATGTGGTGTTATACGACCGCGACACTGCTGAAAAGCTGTTTTCTCTTCGAGGGGATCATTCACAGCCTGTTTGCTTCTTATCTTGGTCGCCTAATGGGAAGTATATGGCTACTTCTGGCACAGACAAACAGATTCTTATCTGGGATGTTCAAAAGAAGCAGGACATTGAGAGACAGAAATTTAGCGAATGCATATCTTGTATGGCATGGAAGCCTCACGGCAATGCAATAGCAATCATTGATGTTATGGGGAAGTACGGTGTTTGGGACTCAGCTGTACCTCTGACTATGAAATCGCCTACTGAAGATATTCCTGGTTTACAGTCGAAGAACAGCAATGGGGTCCTCTTATTTGATGAGGAAGGTGAACCTAGCGCATCTGGTAATTTTAGTGATCTTAATGAAGATAGCTATGGTGAATTTGAGTCATCGGGCAGGAAAAGATTGCGTAAACGCGCCAAGTATGATGAAGAATGGGAAGAAGACATTGGTGATGAGCTGGAGAATGTTCCAAAAGTTGAACATCGAAAAAAGGCCTCTAATGGTCATAAAGACAATACTAATGGAAAGAGTGGATCTAGAAATGTGATGGTAGCTGCCGGTATAAAAATGCAAGAAGCTTTTCAACCTGGATCGACTCCTGCACAGCCTGGGAAGAGACACTTTATGTGTTACAATATGCTAGGAAGTATAACCACAATGGAACATGATGGATATTCCCACATAGAGGTACCTACTTATTCATTGCATTTTAATTTTCTCTTTCCTGATGAAACATCGATGCATTTTTTATATCGAGTTATTTAACTTATTTGAAAATGGTTGAAGTTGGAGTGAGCTAAAAATACCAAACCAGAAGATCCATGGCTGATTTCTGATATTTCATATCCAATAAACAAACAATGTCTATTTTGGCGATAAAGCGAGAGTGAAGATATCGTTGCAAGTTCTTTCTTTGCCATTAGATTATACTTTCTCGACACAGTTCTCTAATAAATAATAATATGTAACTGAACTGCAGATAGACTTCCACGATACCAGCACTGGTCCACGTGTTCCGGCAATGACTGATCACTATGGCTTCACAATGGCTTCTCTAAACGAAGTTGGAAGTGTATTTGCCAACCCATGCAAAGGCGAGAAGAGTATGAGCACTCTAATGTATCGACCCTTCAGTAGCTGGGCAAACAACAGTGAGGTCAGTCATCTTCATCATTTCCTTTCATGGCTAAACATTTCTTGCAGCATTCTTATAGATTTAAATTAGTTTCATTTTTGCTCATATGCATTAACTTGTTGTAGCTGATGCTTATTTCCTTGTTCAAATTAGTGGTCTATGCGATTCGAAGGGGAAGAAGTTAGAGCCGTAGCACTCGGCAGCGCTTGGGTTGCCGCTGTTACAAGCCTCAACTTTCTTCGAATCTTCACCCAAGGTGGTTTGCAGGTCTGTAGAAATCCAATCTTGAGTTCTAAAGTTCAACCCTATACATATTTTACTTAATTCATTCAATTCTTAATTGTCTGAATGCCATTTTATGTTATAATTTCTTGATTTGATGCATTAGCGGCACATTCTTTCCCTCGACGGACCAGTAGTCACAGCCACTGGGTACAAAGATGAGCTGGCTGTCATCACACACATTTCCCCTCCTCTGCCCTCAGATGAGCAGGTATCATACATATATATATATATATATATTTGTGACGATCCGTGAAAACTTGGCAAATCACTGTTATCTATGAATTCCCTATTTAAGTTTTGATGAAAGCTTAATAGCACTATGGATTACAGATGCTCGAATTTAGAGTATTCAATGTTCTTCATGGAGCTCAGACTTTTCGAGGAAAAGTGCCATTGACCCCTGGATCGTGTTTAACGTGGTTTGGATTCAGCGAGGAAGGCCAACTAAGTTCATACGATTCGAAGGTGCAAATTTAAACCTTTTTTCATACATCAAACCTTTTCTTTTCTCGAAATGTGATTCGAGTATCATACTAACATGAATTTAGGGTGTTTTGAGAATCTTTTCGAATCAATATGGCGGTAGTTGGCTCCCGCTCTTCAGGTAACACCAATGATTTTAAATTACTGCGTTTGATCCATGTACATCTCGACAATTTTACATTCGAAATCGATTCGACAGCTCCAGTAAACTACAGAAGCAAGAAAATTACTGGATTGTGGGATTGAACTCCTCCAAATTATTCTGCGTCGTCTGCAAATCTCCCGAAACCTTCCCACAGGTACAGCTTTCCTCCTACAGGCATTTGTTGTTTCGAACCATCACTTTACATGTCACAGCGATTTCATATTCGGTCACGACTTTTCAGTCTGCACCGAAACCTGTCCTCACCTTGCTCGACCTGTCATTCCCTCTCGCTTCATCGGACCTCGGCGCAGACAGCCTCGAGAACGAATTTATAATGCTCAACATGCATCTCTCCCAGGCAAGCTTCCCTGTTAATTAATTCACTCTTTGCTGTCAATGGCGTAGCCATAAACATACCCCTTTCGACTTTCATTTTCTCAGATTCAGCGAAGCATGGAAGAACGAGCAGCTTCTGGTCTCGACACTGCCTCACTCGATGACGAGGCTTTCAATCTGGAAGCTTCTTTGGATAGATGCATCTTGAGGCTCATTGCATCTTGCTGCAATGGTAAATGGCCGATATTTTTCTCTACTATGTTGGTAAAAAAACCCGACAATTTATTTCATTTCAACCTATACGATTGTGCTTTATTACAGGCGACAAACTTGTGAGAGCCACGGAGCTAGTGAAGCTTCTGTCGCTAGAAAAATCGGTTCGAGGAGCCATTAAACTCGTCACGGCGCTAAAGCTACCGAATCTGGCGGAGCATTTCAACACTATACTTGAGGTGAGACTCTCAAGTAGAGCTGTTAAACGAACCGAGCCGTTCGTGAACTCGGCTCGGTTAAAACTCGTTTGCGAACGTTAACGAGTCGAACCGAATAATATAAACAGGTTCATTTGGTTAACAAACGAGCTCGAGCTTTGTTTACGAATGTTCGTTAAAAAAATATATTTATTATAAATATTGTATATACATATCAAATTATAATTTACAAATAAATAAAATATCAATTTAAAATAAATAAATAAAATAATTTTAATTTTTTTTTAATTTTTATATAAATTAAAAAAAAGTTGAGACAAACTAGTTTGAACGAGCTTAATTGAGCTTAAATGAGCCGAACACGACAATAAAAATTCTTAATGAGCGGAGTTTGAAAGTTTAATGAACGAGCACGATCTTTGTTCGCGAAAGTTAACGAACGAACACGAACATTTTAAAATTCGGCACGGCTCGGCTCGATTCGATTCGTTAACAGCTCTATTCTCAAGTTAACCTGATCTTCATCGAAATGGAGCTCCTGTCATATTTAATTCATCTTTCGACATGCAATTCTTGCTTTTCTATTACAGGAAAAGTTGCTGAAAGAAAATCGAGGCGACGCGATGCTCCCCAGCAGCAGCAAATCCAACATTCCCGTCAAATCCGAAAAACTTACTTCACCGCCCAAAACCAAAGAAAGATCGGAAAGCACAAAGCCTCCCTCGTCAATCCAGACGACGGCAAATGCGTTTATGACAAGGAAACGAGATCCTGAGGGGTCGATGAAAGTCGAAGTAGATCAAACTTGTCCGAAGACTAGTGCTGCTACAAAGTTGAGCAACAATGGTGCAGCAGAAACGACGAAGATTGGAAAGGTCGACCAGGTGAACTTTCGTCGGCCCTCTAACCCGTTCGCGAAGGCGTCGAGCACCGACGAAAGCCCGTCCCTGTTCGATTCTCTGAAGAAAATGAAGAAGTCTGATGTGAATAAAGGGTAAATGATGAACTCATTCATGCATAATTTGTCCTTTGATGCAGATCTTTTTTCAGTCACGAATGGTAGCAGGACAAGATCAAAAACTTACATTATGTTCTTGAGATTGTTTTGTGTAAATGCTTCAAATTTGTTGTAATCCCAATATATGTGAACGTTGTAGCTCCAATTATATATTAAACTTTTTTTTTTAAAAAAAACCGAATATATACTAATTTTTTTTAGAAGTACACACTTTATAAGTCGAAGTGTACGACTATAATGTAATTGACGTTCAAAATTCGCCTCTATCTTAATTCCACGTGTAATGATGTCATTGTGCCACGTGTCGTTTCGACCCCACCGCGGGGACTATAAAAGGCAATTTCCGTTCTTTCTGAATTCTGATAACGTGTTGAATTTAGGCCAACCGATCGATACTGAGAGCGTGGTTCAGGTTGCCTGATGGTGATGGCACTCCGTGCTTCGGCCGTCGGGCGTCCGCCGTCGGTTCCGCGGTCGCCGGAGCTGGCTCAGTCACCGAAGGCGCCTGTTCTTCTTCCTTGTAAAGGACGTGCATCATCGAAACATCAACTGAACAATTTGTCGCTGCCTCCTGCTGCTGCTGCTGCTTTTAATGTATTTGCTGCCATTGCTGCTCCTGATGAAGCCAGAGCTGTGACCATTCCCAAAGAGCAGATTGTCACTACTCTCAGTCAGGTTTGGAAGAAGAGTTGATTCGCATTGTCATCAAATATGCCATTCCGTAGAATTAAATTGCGTATGTAGCATTTTCCTTTTTTTTTTTTTCCTTGCAATTCCGTGAAGAAATTGATGGATTTCGAGTGATTGAGGTGCGTAATTGATGATTTATTGGATGCTGAGAACTTAGAGTTGGTTAGGTTTGCTGTTGGAGCTATGTTCGTTGCATTTCCCTTCGCACATTTTTTTAGCAAGTGTTTGTTAATTTATCCTTATAAACTTCATGTTATTCTGAAACTTTCAGGTGGAGTCCACAATCGATCAGATTCAGGAATTTGGTTCGAAAGTTTTCAGTACAACAAGCCAAGTGGTTGGAGTTGTGACAGATGCTGTGAAGCCAGCATTGCCTGTCCTGAAACAGGCTGGAGAACAGGCTGTGAAAATTGCATCTCCTGTGGTTTCTGAGGCTTCTAAGAAAGCTCAAGAAGTTCTCCAGAGTTCTGGAATCGACACCGAGCCAGTGATAACTGCTGCTAAGGTACACTGATAACTATGAGTAAATAGATCACCTAACCACTAGTGCTATATTGTCTTCTGTGATCAATTTTGATGAGCTTATTTGATATTTATTACTCCGTCCATTCAATTTTTATTGTTTTAAAGTATATTTAAGTATATTTGCACGGTTTGGTGATTGTATTTTTGTTATAAATTGACAAATTTGCCTTAATGAATTGTATGGCAGAGATGAAATTAATAAATGAATGAAGGGTAAAAGTCTAAAATTTGTGTCAAAAAAAAAAAAGGAAATAGGACAATAGGAAAGTAGGACATTAGTTTGTGGACGGAGGGAGCATATGAGATTTTGTGGAAATAGAAGGATTTCAGGGCCTTGGCAGAAAGTTAGCCTTTTAAATTATTTCCATTGCATACCATCCATTAGAACACGAGATTCTTCAAATAAGTCAAAAAGATTTGTTGTTATGTCACTATGATTTTGGCTACAATCCATTCATCCGACCACATCAGATGAGTATTTGTCCAGTAATCTGGGATTTCTAGTCACCAGTGTGACTTAATAATGATGAATTAAACATAGAGTTAGAGGTATGTAGAGAACTGACTGCAAATGTGCATTCCGGAATGCATTTTAATATGTTTTGCTGCATTTCTGAGAACTGCCATTGGGGATTCTTGTGTAGGGTAGGTCCGCTGATCTTCGACGGGTAATATTCTTCTTCCGTTATATCAATGATGATCAAATTAGTTTGCTGAATGAATGATGAACTATTCTAATTCACACTACATTTTCCTGCACCTCATCTATCACTTCTGTAGCTTTGTTAGATCATTATTTTGATCAACTGTGCAAAATCTGATTGATCTCAAGAAAACAGAGCCATCAATAGAACATGTTTATTTTTTTGTGCATTTTAAAGTTTCTCCTTCTTCACTAGTCTCAGAAACCTTAACAAGGCATGCCTATTGATTTGTAATGATTGTTTTGAACTTCAGACAGTTGCTGATGCTGCTGAGCAAACGACAAGGGTGATCGGTGAGGCCAAACCCATAGCTACCTCTACTGTTCAGACAATATCATCTGCCGAACCAGCTGTGATTTTGGGGACCGGTGGTGCATTAGTCATCGTGTACTTCTTAATTCCTCCAATATTTTCTGCCATCTCCTTCAGCCTTCGAGGTTATCAAGGTAACTAGACCTCATACTTGGTACATTTCATTTTCTGTCTCAGAGATCATTTTGCTGTTAGAAATAGAGTTATATATATCATGTTTGTTGTTTTTCAGAAACACTTAACTGTGCTTTTCGAAGATAATAGGCAAAACTGAAACACTACTCTTCTTTTAGGCACTGTTTGGTTTGATGGATTTGAATTTAAATTTGAATTTGAATTTGAGGGCGGATTCTAAATAAATAGATTTGAAATACTTTGAATTTAACTATGTTGTTTGGTATAACAAATTATATTTGAAATGTTAAAAATGAGGGATTTGAAATCCCTTGTAATTTGAAGGGGTCATTTGAATTTAATTTACTTCAAATCACCCCAACCAAACGGGGCCTTATTGAACTTCTTTCATCCTTTGCACACACCTTATATGACTGTAGCTCCTCTTAGCCATATGTTTCCATAAAAAGGAAACTCAAATTATCGCTAAATTTCTTTTAGATTTTTAATCGGAAACATTATCTTGTAGTCTTGGTGTCTATTATTATTGCACATTCAGTGTCTCATTTCTGTTTTGGATGCTATGCTATGCTCAAGGTGATTTGACAGCTACTCAAGCTTTGGATCTTATGTCCACAAAGAATTACATCATGATCGACATACGGCCAGAGAAGGAAAAAGGCAAGGCCGGCGTTCCTCGCCTTCCCAACAAAGCTAAAAACAAATTGATATCTATCCCGTGAGTACAACCATTCAATATTTCCATAAATAAAGAGCCAAATGTATGAAAATCCACCCCACAACCCGTTCGAAGCTCTATTAATAATCGGGCTAATTAGAACTAATCAACACATGCAAAATAGATAGATATATATATCTTATATATTGTGTTAATTGAAGTTATGTACTCTAAGTTCACATTTTATATATTTGATGTGCTGAGTTCAACGATAGCATGTATTATATGGCCTATTGTCATATCCTGTCAGTTCTTACATATATATTACGTTAATACATACCTAGTGCTGTCTATTTATATTTCATGTGTTGTCAGATTATAATTCATATGTCGTTAGTACATTATAAATCGCCTCCATTAATAATATATATGGTGATATTTCCTTTCTTAGCATCTTTCATATATCCTTCTTTTCTGCTACAGGTTAGAAGAGTTACCTAACAAACTGAAAAGCCTGGTCGGAAATGTCAAGAAAGTCGAAACAGAACTGCTTGCAACGAAGATCTCTTATCTCAAAAACATAAACAAGGGATCCAACATCGTGATACTAGACTCGTAAACCCCTTATCTTGTTGTCTACCTACAATAATCGCCGGGCCACAAACTTCTTACATACCTACACTTATCGAGAAAATTGCGAAAATATCCCCATGTATATCCTATTGTCCTGTATGACAAAATATATCCTACATGTTTGCAAAAGTCGTTATTTATGTCCTTTGGCTGCGTGTGATGTTCATACTATGTGCGGCTATCTGGGGCTAAATGATAAAAATAGCGATTATTGCAAACATGTGGAATATATTTTGTCAGCAAGATAAATATAGGACAAAAGTGAAAATGGGGTATACATTGGAGATATTTTTTGCAATTTTCCCCATTGCTTCACTACTTACATTACAAAGTTTCTAGTTTTAACATACTACTCTTATTACAACCTATTCAGGTATGCAGATTCAGCTAAAACAGTTGCAAGAACACTGACGAAGCTCGGGTTTAAGAACACCTTTGTTGTGGCTGATGGCTTCTCTGGAGGCAAAGGGTGGCTGCAGAGCCGCCTGGGTGCAGATTCGTATAACGTATCTTTTGCTGAAGTTATATCGCCTTCACGCGTTATTTCTGGTACAGCTGCAGGTGGTCGGCTTGGCTCGCGTAGCCCGGCTTCGGGTACGACTGGCCGACGGCTCGGGACGGCTACACCAAGCCCAGCCAAGCTGCTTCCTGGAGGCTCGGATTAAGGTACCACACTTGTGTTCTTATTAAATAACTTTTTTATTTATTTTATTTTTATGCAGTTAATTTTACTATTAAGTTTTATGTTTATGGTTTGTGATTGATGAATGTGCAATTTGTTATGTAATAATAATAATATAATATTGTTAAGTATAATATATATATATATATATCTATGCGTGTGTAATATAGGTTAAGTGTTTAACATATATGCATATAATATATATGTATGGATGTATCCTGGAGTAAATAATAAGTAATGAAAGAGATTTTATTTCACCATCAATTCCATTCATTCTCAGTATCCATAACAATTGTCCTTTGTAGGCGGTGGAGAAGACGGTTGTAAAACATCCACCTAGTAGCTAGGTAGGCAATATGTACATTATATATTTTCAACACAATTCTTGAATTAGATTCATTTGAAAGGTAGTTTTTGGTGAGTAGAGTAGAAGGAATGGTGCCACAATATTATTTGATATAATTTGGATGAATTTATTTTAGAATTGGGACGTTCAATAGACTAAGAACTTTGTTAAATACTGTAATATATATATATATGCATAATACAAATATATCATATGAACGGATAATACATGTAATCATCATCAACAAACGATATACTAATATATATATATATAATATATTACTAACAACACATGTTAATAGCAATACAATACTACATTCGATCTTTGACTCTCAATTATTATATTAATATATAGTACAGTCACCGAAAAATGACAAATATTTCTATTAGTGTCTTATAATGAAATAACTCAGGACTAGCTAAAGTTAATCAAACATAATGCTAAGCACCCTCCATCAAATCAAAACTTTGAAATGGCAAATAGAACACATAAATAAAATTTGTAACATGCAACAAAAATATACTCCCTCCTCATTCCAAAAATTGGACTATCTTTTTTGGCACTGTAGGAATATGCACTTTTGGTTCTTTTTTATTTTTATAGTAAGAGAGTACCCAAAAAAATAATATAATTTTTTATTAATTAAAAAATAAAAATATTTTTAAAAGATCAGACAAAAAAGGAGCACAGTTTTACAAAGACAGAGAGAATATTATTATTATTATTATTATTATTATTTTATTTATTATTTTATTTTTTTATTTTTAAGAATGAGATTAAGAAGAATTAGGCAAAAACTAGGGTCATTCGTCATCATCATCATCATCATATACAAACATAAAACAACAAAAATCACAAACCTAAATAAAACACCCTCTTACTCGTTTATAGCTCAAAACCTTTCTCTAATTTGACTCTCATATGTAAAATCATTTATATTAATGAGAAATAATGAATAATTAGATGAGATCAAGGAGAGTCATAGTTTGTGAACCTGGTGTAGCTGTGTTTCTGTATGTTCCTCATTGCACAGCAGCTGATGAAATACACTAAGCTCACCATGGCCACCGCGCAGGCGTTGATGGCCGCCAGCGTCCGCCATTTGCTCCTAACCCGCTCCAAAACGGCTGCCTTGCACTTTTCGCATCTCAGGCACCTCTGCGCCGTGTTCTTGCTCCACACCGCGCAGTCGGGCTCTTTAACTTCCTGCATTGGCCGGCTTGTGTTTGCTCTCGGGCACTCGCTGCTCGGGGGAGTGCAACACCCCACCTGCATGACAGTATATAAATATATATAGTGTGTGTGTACGAGAGGATGAATGAAAATGCATTGTATAAATAACAGAAGTATATATATGGATTTTTATAATAGATTAAAAAATATTGATTAATGAAAGTGTCTAAATGGTTTTGATATTTCTAACTTTTGTATAGATATATATATATACATATATTTATGAGTGGGAACAACTGCTACTCTTATAATACACTTTGGGCAAATTTTCGACTAAATTTAATAACCTGTAAATTAGGCCTCAAGTCACACTCTAGGTATATTAAGTATAACAAGCAAAATTCAGAGTTGTGAGGATTTGAATCCATAACCTATAAGACGAGTCCACCCCAAACTATCATGTCATTCCTTTTGATGTTAGTAAATAAATACATTTTAGTTACATAGACTAAAAAAATAAGTAAAAAGAAAAAGTATCATCAACAACTAAAGGAGTATATAATATCTTTCTTTATTTAAAATATATAATATCTTTCTTTATTTAAAATATTATCTCATCATTCGTTTAATTTTATATTTCGATTTTAAAATATTAGTAGTATTTGATAACTTGATAGCACAAGTGAATGGATAATTTGATTTAATAAGTTACACCATTGTTGTAATACTAATTAAAATGTAATTACTTTTTTTTATTTATGTAGGAGCCACAATTGCTATTAGAAAATAAAAAAAAAAAAAGAAAAAATCAATTTCAAATTCCCTAAAAAAAAAAATACTTACTTAATTGTAATAATCTATAATATTTTTTAAAAATATTATGTTTAATATATATTATTCCATATTCATTTACGTTTTACATACTATATAATTGTCTATTGTCAATTTTGTCTTCAATTTTTAATTTCCAAGAAAATCATTTATTATTATTATTATTATTATTATAAAATAGCTTCAAAGTAAATAAATGAAAGTTGAAGAAATGTTTACCTGTAGTGGCGACAAATGAAGGTGGTAATACTCCTCACTCTTCCCTCCTTCAACTCCGCCGCACAAATTCACTCGCTCCAAACACGCCCTTATAGTCTCCCAATTCTCCTCATTCATCACCTGCCGCCGGAGCCACCACGACCGGTGGTCCGCCGCCGCACCGCCGATCCTCCCGTGCGTTACAATCACTCCGAAGATCGTGAACGCCGTCAGTCCGACGATCAGCGCGAACACCATCACCAGGTACAACCACATGAAGAAGGAGACGCTGCAGCACGCGCCGATTACCCCCGCCGCCGACACCGCCACCAAGGCGGCGGACGCCACCAGCAGCGGCGTCCGCAGCGTCTTCTCGCACTGCGATTTCGACCTCTGGTTGAGCCACAGCGAGTATCCGAGCGCCGTGCACGCCACCAACAGCATCACCACATTCACCGCCGCGATTATCCCATTGCTCAATCGAAGCATCTCTGGATTTCGATTTCTCTGATGAGAAACGATTTCTCGATCGATTTTAGGGATTTTGGATTTGGAGCGGAGGGAGAATATAGCGGTTTTTGAAGGGAAGGGGACTGAAAAAGGCAATGCCGGAATGGCGGTGACCGAAGTTTGGTTTGGGGACGCCTGGGAGTGGAGGTCCTGATGTGATCTGCTCCGTTGATTGGGATAAGGGTGGGACCCGGGATATGGACGGTGCGGATTGTTCAGGATTTTCGAGTAAGGTTTATTGAGTTGATTTCATCGCATTTAATTTTGGATATCGCAAATTAATTCTGGATAACAAAACTACAAATTACTTTCTATGTCTGTTTAAATATTAGTGATTATCTTTTATCCAAGTTGTGGTTGTATGTGTTTTCAATTTTCTTTTTAGATATTATATTTTATACTCCCTTCATAAATTTTTTTACTCTAAACGTAAAAAATAATGGTAATTGTGTAAAATAATAATGAAAAAAAATCAAAAGTTAAAAAGGATAAAAATGGTTAACTATATGAGTACAAATTTTTTTCTTAGGAAAGATCTCATTTGATACTTGTTTATTTATCATTTAATTTTGGCAAAATACTATAAAATCTATTTGTAGTTAATAAAAAATGCATAAAACCCCAATTATTTAAAAATTATGTCGTATTATTTTATTAACTTTTTTTTATGTAATTAACAATGATTGCTCTAAACGCGTTCTAATTGTAAAATAATTTAGAAATTTCATAATTATAAAATCATTACTAACAGTAATAATTTTAGACTCCGTCATAACTGCAAATTTTAAAGAAATCCTCATAGTGTCAGGGATTGACAGTTTTATCGTAAATTCTTGGTCATAGTCTTTTCCATATGTGCAAATCTTCCATTTAACCTTTTTACGTAATTAACAGTGATTGCTCTAAATGCGTTCTAACTGTAAAATAATTTAGAAATTTTATAATTATAAAATCATTATTAACATGAGTAGTTTCATCCGTCGTAACTACAAATTTTAAAGAAATCCATCCTAGTGTCATGGATTGACAATTTTACCCTAAATTCTGAGCCTTGGTCCGTTCCACGTGTCTATAGAGTGGATTGATGGTATATGTCTCAATGCAAGTATGTTTCTTTTGTTATTTCTCATATTGCATGGAATATTCAGGCTTGTTATATAGAGGGGCGAGAGGACAGTTGGTACAAGTGCTCCTTGAGGAAGGAGTATGCTCGATGATGTCATTGCATCAGAGTAGAACAACTTCATTCATGCGGGAGGCACCATGTTAAAGGCGATCTTGGGGTAAAAAGCGCAAGCTGCAACCTGCAATATTCCCAAGGCTGTGTGAAGATGAAAGGCGGAATGGGAATGGGAATGGGCCGTATATGAATTGACTATGGGGAACCTCACTTAGAGTGAGCACAAAGGATATGCTCAAGTGCCGATAAACTGAAGCCTAAACGCTGCAAAAAAACCAATATCGGTGCAGCATTGTATGAGAGACCTGTGGTGGAGAATATTGTCATATGACACTTTCGCCTCGGGTTCTCGATCATAATTCATCTTTAGTGTGCGAGCCCCTTATCATTGGACGACAGATTGATAGCTTATGTCTCGATGCAAGTATATATCCATATATCTCCCATATTGCATAAAACCTTCAGACTTGTTGCAGACAGAAGATGGCTGGTCTAGGCTTCAGAGAGCACAGGGCTCAGCACTAGGCGTGTCGAGCATATAAGTATGTTACAATGTCATGTCAATATAAATCATGCCATGATGTCTGCCTACTTTTTTATGCGTAAGATTAGTTTTTAATCAGCATCCAATTCCTTTCCATTAATACTATATAAATGACAATACTTAAGCTTGAGCTCGGCTCGATTATAAAAACTCGAGTTAAGCTCGGAAACAAGATCGACTCAACTCAAATAACAGCAGTAGGGCCGGGTCGAAATGAGTGGCGGCGCCACCCAATTTCCGAAACCCGCCCGGGGCTTCGAATTCCAGTTCGGCGCCGCGCAAACAAAGATCGAAAAAGATGTCGTACCTTACTCGACACCAATGCTGTGAAGTTCTTCCCATTCACCATATAGAAGCAGGATTGATCAAAGGGACCTCAAGCAATCTCTTATGAGAGTCAATGTGGATTGAGCAGCAGAAGATCCTGCGAGTTTCTCGAACAGGCTGCCATCCATTCTAGCTTGAATTTCATCGGAAGTTGCCATCTCATGCATCAGGTCTTTAACAGCTTCATCCGCTTCCATCATCGTGTTCCCCATTTCCTGCAGTAACTCAACCGGGGATATGGAGGGCCTCGACAGCTCCACAAGAGTCACCTGATGTTTGACAACGTGTTAGAAATGGTGTCGAATAGTCAGTGGGATCAAATATTTCGAAACCTTTACGGGGGAGCTTAAAGTGCAAACTTCTCAGAATTTCTACTATTCACAAAAAAAACATTCCTCCAAAAATATTAAATCAAATATCTATTTTCCATTTAAAATGTCATATCATACAACTATTTCAATTCAAAATATCTACTGTTCAAATTCCAACTCAAAATCCAAAGCTCAAACAAACACACACCCCTACAACATTTCGAACATTTAAAAGTTCTATTTTATTTTATTTTATTTTATTTTTATGCAACTCTTGCTATCCTCTTTTAAAATGTTAAAAAAAATCCGAAATTCCAACTTAAAATTAATTGGTGTTAAGTGAAGTAGTCCCTCATCCTTACATACGTATAGGGAGTTCCTATATTTTTCTTACGCGGAACAATATTCAACAAAATAACAAAACCCTGAAATTCTAAAATATGCACGATTAAAGAATCTAGCTGCACAATACATATAAAAAAATTACTAAAAACCAAACATAAAAAATCTACAGTAAAAAAAAAATAAAAAGCTACAAAAAGTATTATTTTCAAAGCCAAAAACTCTATACAAAACACCATCCGACCAACGTTTTCAACTCCAAAATATTCAAAATTTTAACCAGAATTTATGCAAAATACCTCAAAGCAAAGATCACATGATTAGATTTATTTAACTGAAGATCAATTTAAACTGACACTTGCTAAGGGATCGAAACAGTGAAAAATGCAGTGCATACCTGTTTATCTTGTGGTATATTAGCTCTTTCTTTCGCAATTGCTACAGCTCGAGAAAGTCCACCAATAGCATCAATCAAGCCAAGAGAAACTGCATCATTACCCATCCAAACTCTCCCTTGTGCAACTTTTTCCATCTCATCTACCTGAAATGCATTCTTACTTGAACTTTGGAAACTACTCACAGAATCACTGGTATGCATAAAAAGGGCAATGTACATGGTTTGCAAAACGTACTGTCATTGATCTCGAAAAGGCTGCCTTGTCTCGAAACTGTTTGTACAGAGCCTGAGCTTTCTTGGCAAAAAGTTCGGCTTCATCAGCTCTGTGGATCAAAAATCATTTTATCGAAGTTAACAACTGTTAATGTGTAAATGTATAAAGGAACAAACTGTGACTTAACCAAATTATTCTCACAGTAAAGAATCAGATTGAGAAACTATTACGTAGACTTGCCCAAACAATTCCAAACCGACAGTTCGAACTAGAACTTTTCGATTCAATTTCATATTTTTACAAACCGTAAACCGCCATATTTCAATTCGAACAGATAGTATCTCCAGTTTTCCCTTTTTCTTTTGAAATTTTAAAAGCATAAGCCAGCTGTTAAAAAGTTATAAAATATTTTGGCGCTTCGGTTCGAACCGCCGATGGCCACAAATATTGCATCATAACTAAAAGGGAGTACCTGTACGGTCGATGTTCTGCTGCTGAATATTCTGCATATTTTCCCCTTGATATGATCTCCCTGTTGAAGCCAATTGACTCATACAGCTTTCCCAGATTGATCTTTGCTACAAGCAGAAGAACACTAAACTTCAGTTAGCACTACAATCCCGACAATTCTCTCTTCACAAGACATTTCGGTATTGTGCTAAAGTATCACCTGACACAACTCCAATAGAACCAGTTAATGTAAGATTTTCTGCAACAATTGTGTCTGCAGCCATCGCCATATAGTATCCTCCACTAGCAGCTACATCAGACATTGATGCAACAACAGGTATCTGTGCAGCCAAAACCTTGATTTCCCTCCACATTCTGTTCATTGAAATCGAAACTTTCATGCCCACATCAGATGCTATATATGTTCAAAGTGACAATTGCATGTCTCGAAACATATTCATGGACATGATAATGATTGATATAGAAATTTCTTATTGTGATTTAACTTATTCTGTCCTGCAGGGACACTCTCCATGTCCCAAACCAAATAATCAATTCTTAGTTTCAATTTTGGATAATACGAAAATAATAACAGGACTTATTTCAATCGAATACTAACCTGACCTAACAATCTAATGGGAGTTAACTCTAATGGATTCACTGTGACTCTTACAAACTACAATTAGGAACTAACATTCATAAATCTTACGAATTGTTGACGATAAGCATCAATCCACTATGGACCTAAAATGAAACATTCTATTTATATCCCAGGATTATCTTCAGATAATATGGCTTAGATATATAGCAGGGTCTGATAAGTTACTGTTTGTTTTTGTAACCATGATGTAATAGCAGTACCAAATATGAAGGCACCTTCTAGGTCTTATGTTTGCACTTTGGAACTATAATGTCGAAAAGGCCCCAAGAAGTGACTAGTAATATAAATGTCTCTTCATTGTGATAAGACAAAAGTTTAGTTATTCCATAGCAAACAAATTAATAAGTTTTATTTAATTATTGCAAGCTCCCTGCTATTTTAAATAAATATACGAATTTGAAATAAAAAATCAGAAATTGGACCAAGGTAATAATTATCGAGAAACTCACAAATCAGAAGCAAGGGCTTCTCCTCCAGTGCTATCAATTCGAATGATAACAGCTTTATACTTTTTTGATTCTGCAAAAAACTAAAAGAATAATGAGGCAATGTTGATGAAGCTAAGTTTGTTGATGAAGCTAAGTTTGTTGAAGAAGCCAATACAAACAAGAAACAGTCATTCTCATTATAGAATTAACACATCAGAGATGGAATACAAAGAGTTTCCAAAACTATTAGAATTGAACGTATTCTGAAATATTTTCTAATAGCCTACACAAAGCTCCTCAAAAACTGTGGTTTTATACATTTTATAAACTTGTATCTGATCAAGAAGATTAGAAGAAGCCTTATTATTTTTGAAAAAATGAAAGAAAGGCATTTGTGTTGGTTAAAGAGAGACTCCATCTCACAAATTAATTGAATTAGAGGGCATCATAACATTATATCAGGATTCACTGGGAAACACCACAGACCTCTTATACTGCGGATCTTCTGAATAAATTGATCAGCAATAATCCTTGAGGTGGGTGACCTAAATCGCCCTTGTGTCCGGGTAATGCTCCCTGAGGCTCTTATTATAGCTATCTTGTCTTTGAACCCAGCCAAGCCAAGGGTCTTTTTCCTGACAATACAGTACTTCCTGCACGCATTCCGCAAAAACAGCATTGGAGTTTGATACATACATATATATATATATATATATGCATAAGTTTTTTATATAAGGGCATGCAAATGAAAGTTTTTACATGGATGCTCACCATCCTAAACAAAGATCAGTAAATAGGGTAAACCTTGCACAGTAAAGTTCTGGTTTTGTCTAAGCATCATTACGAATCTTGATGTTCCAATCATGTTGAATGTAAAATTCTATTGAGTTTTTTCTTGAACCATGATGAAGGATTTTTCAACAAGATTTTGATGAATCACGATTCCACTTTTGAGTATTAATAATGAATTGTATAAACCGAGGATGACACACCATTCAGTACACTTAAAAAATAAAAGTAACATCAATTGAACCATGGGCAGAGTTCACTCCAACAACTTGTAAAAATTTAATGGTGTTAAAATGGAAATGAGAGTACAAAGAGCAAAAGAGTATAAGATGGTTTAATTATTAGGTACGTATAACACCGGAATATCATTCTGAACCAACAATATTTGAGAATGGGAATCTTACAATACTAATAAAATAAATCACTGGGAAAAATTATATGATCGTTTTCAACTGCAAGAACAGAAAGCATCTGAAGAGGTTAAGGCCGTTTATCATAATTATACTCGTATAGTATGGTACCAAACAACATTTTTGACAAGTGACTTGAGAACAATAATGTAAGCAGTTACCTGTAATCAACTGTTGGGAGTACATTTGTACTTGGAATTCCCATTCGTTTTTTCAGCAATGACATCACCTGAAATCCAAGAAAGATTGTGATCAACAAAATGAGGTAATACAATCTACGTAACTAAAGGAGAATTTCACTAAGTCTGAACTTTTCACTGAGGGGTTACCTCATCCTCATATTTAATATCTGTTATTAAGCCCTCTTCTTTCATTCTTTCGATTTGATACTCTCCTTGGTTTACAAAATTTTCAATCTCTTCTTTTTTTCTACCTGTAGATAACAAAAATTAAATTACTAAAATTATCACCAAGTATCAGACCATGTCAATGAGTTCAATGGCACCTTTCGCAAGCGAAATTTTGTCAATCCAGTTTGTGTAGATGTTTTCAAGCAGAGCAGTCAGCATTTCACGTTGCTCATCAGACATACTTTTCCGGGTCAATGGCTCTCCCGCAGCCTTGTATTTACCAATCTGTTGGACCTGTGCTTCAATCCCAATCTTCTCAAGAACACCTAGAAAGCAATTTGAGGTCAAAATGGAGGTAGTTAGAAATTGTCACAACTCACAAGGTATTGGACACAAATATAGAATCTCTTTAATTAGTAAAAATAACTCACTCTATCAAAACAGGAATTAAGGTGAATAAATGTCAAGTTTCGAACCAGAAGAAATTCAAAGATCAATTATATTAACCCATTGCAGCATTGTTCATTGCATTGAATAGTAACGATCGCATGCGATTATATAGTTACAAATTGGAGTTCAAATCAACCATAATTTGTCAAGGCAATCTCATTGCCAGATCAATAGTAAAATTGCACATAGTAATAAAATATTACTACCGGAATTTCGAACCAACTTACCTCCAAAAAATGATGACTGAACAAGTAATCCATACAATTCAACATAAGCAGTCGGTGGAGCATAGAGCTCTTCACAAGCACAGCCAATATAGTACTCTTTCACTCCACAGGTCGGCACATAGCCTATGATGAACTTACCTATAAATTTCAACATGTGTTATGAGAATAAATTATCTGCTGCATGTTATTTAGCACAAACTGAAAGGAGGTAACATCAAAAGCTAAAAAAGACGACTACATTGCAAAGTGAGCAGAACAAAAGAGTTCAGCTACTCTACCTGATTTCCTAAAATTTAACACATGCCTCCGAATCTCATCTAGCTTCCCCCAACCACAATTTAAAGAATCCAAATGGAGGTAAATGCCTGCCACACGAGGGTCGTAAGCTGCTTTATCGAAATTCTCACAAATTTGAGGCAAAGATAGTGCTCTTGGGAAGCTCCTTAGCTGATCAGTTATCTAACATAAAGCAATGCACATGTTTTAACTGTACATCAAACCAATCCAGTGATAACAAGAGAATTCAAGCTCAGTAGCTAAGGGTGTGTTTGTTTGTGTTTTCTCCATTGTTTACACCAAAGTCAATATATTCTTTTATCTGAAAATCACACTCAAAATCTATAACACTGTGTCCCTAATTCAGGATTAAAACATCAAATTCAAAACATATTCTCAATTTTAAAAAGATCAAATCTAATCAGCCAAACAAACCTAAAAATAAACACATCAAGTCACCAACAAACACGCCCTTAAAATGTTCATCACCAATCCCTCAGAATCTCTTCCTCGTTGAGGTGTAATTGTTTGGGAATTTTGAAAATTAGGGATAGAGAATCAAAATGAATAAACCTATAATCGAATGGATCGTATGATAAACACTTTAAAAAAAAATTATTGACACGATTTAAATCTAGGATAATCGAATAATACACTAAAGAATTCTAATAGAAACAAATGTCACGTAAATGGCGTTATAGAACAAATCAAACCTCTTAGAACATAGCAGAAAACAAAAAGAAAACGTAAATAAAATCAACTTATAAGTTATAACCTCTCCACGCAGCGTCATCTTGAGAACACTCCCATTCTTGAAGCGTTCCCATGGGAAAGCAAAGAACAACCTCGTTTTCTGAGTGAAGTTCTCCCACCGGCTACGCTGATTGTAAACGAATTCACCACGCGGATACTTTCCGTCACGATCTCTGCTGGCACTCGCCAATTCGCCTCCGGATGGAAGTGTTGCGAAATGATGGACGATCAGATAGGCGCGCCGGTGAATAACGGCGGAGAAATGATCGCCGGAGATGGAACCGTAGCGGTGACCGTACGAAAGAAGAAGCTTCCACATCTTCTCACGGCTCGGCTCGGCTCAGTTTCAGCTTCTTGTAGAAGTAGAGTCAAGGCTCATGGCAGCGCCGGCGCTATCGGTTAGCGGTATTTTGTGATTTGTACCGACAATGGAATTGCCAACAAAAATAATTGAAAGATCTTGGTGTCTTTGTTTGGTAATTTGTATTTTCAATTTTGATTTGAATATAAAAATTTTAAATTTGAATATTTTGTATCATACTATATAAATAACGTTATAATGATTTATTTATTATTTTTATATTATATTAAAAAATAATTATATACATTGCGTTCATATATTATACTATCAAACCATTATTTCGATTTATAATTTTAATATTTCAAACAAGAAACTAAACTTTCAGAGCGACCAACAAAGTAACAAACACATCCAAATCTTAAACTAAAAATCAAAATGAAATCACAAAACCAAACACAACCATAACAAACCCAAAAATAAAATAAAATAAAATAACTAACAGAAATGACAGGGAATAAATACATGAACACATAGCATAGGTCTTAAGCGGAGTTATACATACATACACAATACATACAACTTATTACACTGCAAATATCTTCTTACAACACACAGGACACAGAACAGAACAGAACAGAACAGAACAGAAATATATTATGCAGATGTACTAAAAAGTCCCCTTGTAATAAACATAACAGTAAGCTAAGGTGTCCTTTCTTCATTTAGATTTCGACACCGATTTGAGCAGAAAGATACCGATACCTCCAACAGCCAAGGAAACAAGTAACGGAATGCCGATGGATCCAAAATCCGAAGATCCACCACCTCGTTGATTCACCCGTCCTTGCTGAGACCTCTCCCCGAAGTGTTCATGGAGGAGACTGCTGAGGTTGTCTATTTGATGCAACATTTGTCGCTGCCCGCGAGATATAAGCAGTACCTGTGTCCAAATGAAAGAACTTTGTAAGAATTAATGTTCTACAGAATCGAGCCTGCGAATGTTCTTGATTATTCATAGAGAGAAGGACACCCGAGTGTGCATGTGAAATAAAAGTGTGTTTTTACAAGAAATAGTTATAGTTTTTGACCTATTGAGTTCTCTTTATATGTTATGAACAATTTGGATCCTGTGTTAAAACAGTTATTTTCAACACCGCTAAATACTTCTTTGATTCAAAATTCCTACATCATAATTCAATAGTTTTTTACATATACTTTATGGTATTCAATGGCCCAATTTGAAAATATATTTAGCACATGATCTAAACGAATATCTATATGTATCCAGGTAAATAATTTCACAGTAATGCTCCATAACATAATAATCGAATGATATGAAGAATATGATTCTACGAGTAGAGAAGAACATATATATGTAAATGAAAAAGTAAAGTAAACTAGCGTTTTAAGTTGCAATAGAATCCCTAATTCGGCTGTAGTCCAACTAGTTTAAAATCTTGGTTCGATTATCTTAATTGAATCTAGTTTGCACCAATTTTAGTCCCACAACGTATTTATTAACCATCAAAAGTTTGATACTAAAATCGGAAGTACTGTCAATTATATGAGAAGAACAAAAACATTATTAACTAGTCGAATTGGGAATTTCTAGTGAGATTGAAATAAGTATTTTTCCTTAAAACATTCAAAAGAGCATGAAATAGATTCGGAATTACCTCTTCCATGAAAGGCGATTCTCTTGCCAGTTGAGGAGATGAGGAAGAATTGGGCAGAATCGAACCAGACAAAGGGCCATTACCAGAAACGAAGAAAGAGTTTGGCGCTGTGGCGTTGCAAGCTTCAGCCTGCAATGCCAAATTTTGTTGGCTGGCAGACACTTTCCTGGCCGATATTTTTGAGTTGAGTTCGTCGATTCGTGATGTGAACTCATCCATTCGCTCATTCAGTGTAGATATCTGTTCAGTCAGCTGCGTAACCATGCCCTGAAACAAGTGTCGAGAATGATAAGGAAGAGATTCACCACATATGATATACGACAATCATTATCACAGGTCGAAATGTTTATATATATACATATATAAATATATAGATAGAGAGAGATGGCATAGATTGATGCTTATAGAGGCAAAAAGGATCAATCCGAGCAATAACTAACAATGGCTGAAACTAATCAATCATACAAGAAACCTTAAAAAAGTGTTGCCCACAGTGATAGTTACCTGAGTAGCAAGTGGAGCTGGTGAATCCGGGCCTCTCCCATCATACCTCCGATTATTCACAGCAAGTTTTGTCAGCTTGCTTAGATTCTTATCACGCTGTGTCGAGTATGACTGTGAACCCCCACTGTAGATGGTAAAAAGTATATTTCAGATACTGATAAATATAAAGAAAAATTATAGTTATTTATTAGGAGATTTTGCCCGTTGGCAAAGTATACCGATTGAGGAACTTCATTCTCCTGTCAGCAGAAGCTCGGGATAGAGCTTCTTTAGGACTTGAGCCCGCATCATCGTCTATGCTGAGCTTTGTCTTCAAATCATCAGGAAGTGCCTGTGGTTCATTATAGGATGAGACTTGAAGATAATGAAGAATGAATAATAAACAATAACTAGTTATTTAAATATATATCGAACCATGACATCATTTATGAGTTTCTCCAACTGAATCTGTTCTATGTATGTTCGAGGGATGTAAGAACCCTCCAAGCCAAGCTCCTCAGCAACATATTTTACGTAGAGACGGTCTCTTCCTTGTACCTATCACAAAGCAACCACAATTGCAGTGGCAAACAACAATAAAGGGACAAAATTACTCGTGGAATCCACAGTGAATCGTGTGAAACAGAAATGAAATTCGAACAAGGAGATAAAAAATAAAAATTGCAACCCAATAGTATTCTTGATCGACAATACATCCATACAACTTAAGAGGACGGCTCAATCTATACCTGGACATATTTGCGATTTAGTTGCTCCAACCAATCAGTTTTAATGCAAACTTTATCAGTGGCGAAGACATGGCTGCTTCTCTTCAGAATGGATGCAATTGTGTATCCTAGTGCCATCAGCCCACCAAGAAGACGGACACTAACTTCAAAAGTAATCCGAGGTGATATAATGAAGGGACTATCAGTGACCCATTCCTGCAAAACTATGTAATATTACTATCTAATTTAATGTTCATCAACTCATTTGCTTTCAGAAGATTCCATTTATTTGACACAAAAAGGCAATCTAAAAACAAACATCTATGAGGTAAAAATAAAATCAAAGAATGCAACAGGGTTAAGGAATAAGGAAGAAATATAAGAAACTCTGAGTTACTAACAAACCTCGAACATGAGATTGTACTTGCCATCACGGTTTCTCATCCTCAGATACGATTGGCATGCCTCAGGATCTTCACCAGGTGGGAGGAGAAATATATCATAAGTTTCCTCTGTAGTTTCTCTATATTCGCCAGGAAGTACAGCCTTAATTTGATCCTCGGTCACTGACCTTGTCGACTATAAAACATATGGAATACCAAGCCGTAAATAACGTGATATAGGCACACATGCTGTTTAGTCTTGGTATAACAAGAAGAAAAAGAGACCCCACCTTTAGTATATATGTGGGGTTCTGAAATCCAGAGAACGGATTAAATTTGTTGGTGATCTTTATGTGAGCTGTTTGTAGATCCGGCTCTATAAAAGCTTTGTACATCGGATATACCTGTATGCAATGATAATATCAATGATTCAAGTACATATTAGAAAGGTGTGTGTATGTGACTACATATCAGTGAAGCATATAATGGGAACAATTGCACACGGTTTCTGATATCTGATGAATTATCTCTTCAGGTTCCTGTCCGGCACGTTGAATGTCTCTCAAAACACGTTTAACAAGATCAAAGTGTACTCCTCCAGTGACAGAAACGCGGAGGTCTAGCAAAGGCCGTATTTTATCACTCAAGGCATATATTCCTTCAATGATAACGATCCGAGAAGTAGGAACTTCCAAAGTCCTACAAAAAGAAAAGCCAATTGTAGTAATTTGTTAAGAACACAAAGATATTAATGATGGTGGAAATATTATATCCAAATTGAGAAATAGCATCGTATCGAGTAGTTTCCCAAAACAACACACTTCTGCATAACCTACAAGGAGAGAACAAGAAACTTTTTGACAGTTGAATAACTATAATTGATGAATTTCAAGCTATCTTCTTCATCTCACATGTAATGATTACATTGTCCTTGTAAAGAGACCACTTCATAGTTATTTCTAGTTCTCATACATGTCCAGCTGACATCACTATTACTCTAAGTGTTCAATAATCAATAGAAAACCTAATCTTCCCATTACTATATAATATAATAATATAGAATGCAGAATGTAGCAGGAACGATGCAAATCATTTATAAGCTGGAAATGGCGTAACCTGTAGCCCACACGAGTGCTAGTCTTAAAATCATATATCGGAATCTGGACAGGGTTTCCTTCTTTGAGACCACGGATGTTCTCAAGCAGAGTCTCGTAGTCAGTCAAGCGCGGATCTGTTAAGAAGACATGAAGCAGTATAGTTAAATTCAGATATATTCAGAAGCAGGTAATGGACCACAAGCTCTAGCAGAACTATAATGTATTATGTATAAATCGTCACAACAATAATCCACTAAAACTGTTATCCACACAGCATGGTATGATGTCTACAATAAGATCAAAACCTACAATTTAATATTTAGAGACCATTTATATCAAATTCTTTTTCGAAGAAATTAAATGAATTGATTGAACACTGGATATACAAATTTAGGATAGATAGAAGTTAACATCTGAAAGATAATTATATTTTGTACATCGACAACCAAAATATACTAGATCACAGCACAGACCTGGAATCTAATGAATACATGCAGATGATTATTATCTTCACCATGTGCATAAGGGACAACGATAGTGCATGACGACAAGGAACAAAACCAAGTACGCAATCTTAACGAGCACGTCAGTCGATCATTTATTTCTAGCAGCAAAAAACTAGATTAACAGTTGAATGCGACAAAAGAATGACAGCATTCGACAAAGCTTACGTTTCCGACACAAAAGGCGGTTTTCAGTTAACATAATAAAACAAGATCTAACAAACACACGACTGCTTTATACGAAAAACTGCTGATCATTTCAAAATAAAATCGTATCACTTTCCAAGATGAGCTTAGAATAAAATTTCTCGCTGAATCGAGTTCATCACAAAGCAACAGATTAATCAGCTTTTACACGCAAGAGTTTAAAAAGACTGCAAATGGAGTTTCGAAGGCAACGTTTACCATCAAAGTTGCCATCAACAATGCGGGATCCATCGTTGTAGTTATCCATATTTATAATAGCAACGCTTGGCATGAAGTTGAGGATCTTTTCAGTGAAAACCGTCTTTCCAGCTCCCGAGGGACCTGCTACCCCAACTAAAACCATTCCTTCATTCTTCTGTGCCAACAACTGGCATGCACGAACAACAACAAAAAAGCCCTTCTCAAACGACAAGGAATCTGGGATCGGGGCAATTTCATAACGATCACTATCCCTTTTCTTAACCAACTGAATTTGGTCTCTCAATAGACCTGACCGTCTCCTCGGTGAATCAATACTGCTAGGAACAGTATCTTGCGCCATATTGAAGCTGGAAGAAAACATAAAAATGAAGACGATCTAATTATAAAAGCATATTAGCAGGAGCATTTTGAAGTAAAGCATCAAGTTTTAGAGAAACTCCATGATCATGCCCGTAGCATATCAGACACCACAAAAATGGCATACTTCTATCACATGGTAGATTTTGGTGATGATCATATGGCATGGTTTCTAATATAATTGTCTCAAATCTCTTTGAAAATTTATCCATAAATTTATTTCACTACTAACCTATACTAATACCTATAGATCACCGATTTCCTAATTTATGAACTCCTTTTCAATTGAAGTGTTCTAGATCTACCTAAACCCTAGAAAACCACATCCCCACGCCATTAATGACAAAGCTTGATATCCAAACAGCTTCTATACAACACATTCTTCTCAATTTTCCCCCAAAAATCACTCATCAATACACAACATATCACACAATCCGAGCCTCCACCGACTAACATTCAACTCACACAAACAAAGAAATTCAATAAATCAAAACAACACCAAACGTGAAATTTGTTCGCTAACAATCCACCAGTTCGTTCACCCACCAAAAAACAAATGATCCGAAACCAAAGACCATTCTCAGAAAATCCTGAATTCAATATGATTATAAGCAAAGCACAATCAAACTGAAGCAAGAAAATATATACATATATACATATATATACCTATACAGCCAAAGAAGACAAGGATTCATAGAAAATATCGCCTAATTAGTTAGACGAAGTGTAAAGGCATACAGAAATGCAGCGGAATTCCCGAGCAATTAAACAATCAACCAAACCGCTTGGCACCGCTTCAGTTGTAGCGGCGACACGCTAGCAAGCCCTCGAAGGTTCTGGAGAAGCAGTAAAGGCGGAAAATCTGCGGGAAAACCGACTCGAAACGGATTCCTACGCTGTAAAGCTAAGCTTACATCACTCACTGTGACATAGCTTCTGTTTCCGGTGCAGTTTTTGACCCACCGCTGACGCTGATGATACACCCAATTCATTTATTGCTTCTCGCCTCATGTTAATTACTCTACTTAGAATCATTTATTGTCAACGACATTTTATATGGATAATAATATTATAATGGGTTTGTTCGGTGTAGTTTAACAAGAAGATTTTTTTGGACACGATCGGCTTTGTTTGTTTAATGTTTTGATTTGAATGTTTTTATAAAAATATAAAAATTATATCAAAAATATAAAAAATAATATTTTACATTGAATATGAACTTTTATAAAAGAATAAATATAAACAAATTGTGTTTGGTTGTTCAAATTAAAATAATAAAGTATTATTTATTTTGTATAACTTTTAAAAAATAAATATTTTTATTTATATATAAAAAAATATAAAATTAATTTATGAAATTATAAATAAATAAATATTAATTATTTTGTGTAAATTTTTATTCTCTAAGTGATATTTATATTTCATGAAAGATATAGTTTTTAAACTAATGAATACCATTGGTTATGTCCACTGTAGAAAGAAATAATAATTTTATTAGGATTTTATAATGTAACATGCTAAGAGAAATTAGACTGCTTTTGTTTATTTTCACCCTTTATCAGTGCCAAATAAATCATAAGCGTCTCTCATAACCCGATGCGTGAATCAATGGAAAGAAATAACATATATAAAAATGTGAATTTGATTTTATTAGTTTAAAGAAATTGAACAATAAAGAACACATCCATCCAATGGGTTTGATTGATTTGTATTTAAAATTGAACTTAAATTTTAATTTTAATTTTAATTTTAATAATATTTTAATACGGATATTTTAAGTTAAAAATTAATATTCCCTTCGTCATATTTTCTATTTTTGTCCGTTCAAAAACAAAGTTACCATAAATATTATATAAATTTTTACTTTTATATTACACCGTACTGATAGGTGTATTTTTGTCATTTTTATTACAATTCAATATAATACTAATATTTAAAAATGTACTTGTAAAAAGCGAACGCCACTGGACGGAATGAGTATTTTTCAACTCAATACAATTAACCTTTTTTCTATTTGTGTATGTTGCATTTTACTTTACATATTTTATATTTAGTCAAATTTTAAGTTAAATAGTATATTAAAATAACATTTTGTAAAATAAATAGCATTGATTTGCTTTGTTTTGAGTTTTTTTTTACTAAACTTTTATTAAAATTTATGGAACCATATAATAATAATTTTAATTTTAAACCTAAATTAAAATTTACTCAAAATCATCAAAAACTTTCATACTTTATTTTCTTATTAATAAATTTAGTTTTATATAATATCTAAATAACTAAAATTTAATACTATTCCCTTCAAAATTATATAAGTATTTATTTTGAAATTATATTCCAAATACACCAATGTATATGTACACATACCCATGTATCTAAAAAAGTATAGTAAGGGTGTGTTTGTTTGAAGGATCTGTGAAGATTTGTACTATTTATTTTATTTTTCTCCTCAAAAAATATCAAATCAAACACCTATTTTTTATTTTTTATATTATATTAAAAATGAATTTTACATTCAAAACATCACATCAATACCTAGTTATATCATATCATACAACTATTCAAATTCAAAATTTTTACTATTCAAATCCTAACTCAAAATTCAAACCCTCAAACAAACACACCCTAAGTATATGTTCTTTCGTGAATTTGAAATTTTAAATAGCAAAAAAATTAAATTTAAATAATTATTTAAAATTGTATAAATAGATTTAAATATAAATTTTAAATTAAAATACATTTTTACTATAATATTAAAATAATTAATTAAATTCGATGTTTTTTTAGAAAGTTTTTTTTTTTTTTAAAGTAAAATTTATAATAAAATCTACAAAAGAATACAATAAATACAATCATGTTGTAAACAGGCTTGTGTACATATTACTAAAATTACTTTTTTCTCTAAGATCATCTCCAACTCATCAACTCTATTTATCCAAAACTTCAAATATGCAGTTGCTACGGTAATTTTACTCCAACCATAACTTCATTTTTCAAATATTCAATTTTTCCTATATTTAAAATAACTTTTTATTTTTATAATTTAAAATAAAATTTTAAAAAATAAAAATTTAATTTAAAAAACAAATTGAAAATTAAATCCATTATATTGGCGTTGCACTGTAGCAACGCCAATTTTTTACGTTGGATCCCATGCCAAAAATGACAACCCACCGCCTTAAAGGCGCTGGGTTGGAGATGCCCTAAATATTTTGATGTTTATGATCGTCATAAAAAATTTGTAACATTTTAAATCTAATAATAAAAACCAATGCCAAAGAAAAAAAGAAAAATAAACTCTGGAATTTCTTCTATATAACTTTATCTATATTTTTTTAATAAAAAAAATAGATAATTTTATCCGATAACATATTACACAATACCATTATTTTTATATCACACAATTTAATAGGGGCATTTTTATAATAATAATATTAAAAAATTTACTTGCAAAAAAAAAGAAGTAAATGTCATTCTTCTCTATAACATTTTATTGTATAAACATTAAATTAAAATAATATTTAAATAACAATTTAAATCAAAATTTAATTTCAAACCACAATATTTTTATAAAAAAATTGTATTGATATAACATTTGTTTTAAAAAGATAAAAATACTATCAATAAAAAAATTTCGAAGTTTTAAAAAATACGTATATATACAAGGCCTTAGTACGTGGTGTCTATTAATTCCAGATCTGGACATTTTTTTTTTGGCGGTGGGCATTTCCGTCCTGAGAGAAAATTTCGATTCCAACCCAAATTTCCGCGCCTTTTCTCGGCGGTTGTTCAAAATTTCGAAAATTTTGTTCTTAATCTTTCAAATCATTTCGGCGAAACTGTTTACTGAATCTCAAATTTGATTCGAACTCTTTCCTTACTCCAGTTCCTCTTCAGATCGGAGGAGAAGCGCAGCGCCCAAAATCGGCTGCCAATTTTAATTTACTCCTTCCAGGTACATTTGCAAAACCCTAATTTTGATCCATTGAATCGATCGCTCATCGTTCGAGCCAGTCAATGCGATTCGCTTCAACAACTGAGCACGTTCTGTGCAATTTATGCATTCATACCGTCTGGTTTTTATGAATTTGCAACCTTGATTGTCGGATTCCACTGTTTAATGAGAGATTGAAAAAAGTTGTCGGCGGGAAAAAATTGTGTGTGCGTTCTGTTCTTCCTTTTATTGTTGTAGAATTTTAGATTCTCGATTCGATAATTTATGGTGAGGGAGCAAAATATCGAATCGTTTTACAGTCGGCTGAGAGAATCCGCCATGGGTTCATCTTCGTCTTCTCCCCTGCTTATTTTCCCCTCAACTTCAGATGTAGATTCACTCTGTGCATTGAGAATTATAGGACACGTTCTCGAATCCGATTCAATTAGATATGCTTGTTATCCTGTTTCTAGCTTCAAGGAAATCCACAAGTATGCAGGTCCAAATTTGAGGTCAGCCTCAGATGAGCCTATAACAATTCTGTTGATCAATTGGGGTTGTCATAGAGATCTTAGGAAGGATCTGGAAATCGGACATTCAGCTAAGGTATTCGTCGTCGACAGCCACAGGCCGATCCATCTACACAATCTGAACAGTCAGAATGATCGAGTAATTGTCCTCTACACCAAGGATGATGAACATCAAGCTGATCTAGCATACGATTTTGATGTATCAGCACTCGCTAACGCCAGCGATATGAACAGCGAAGACGAGATCGAAGATGAATCAGACAGCGACGACGAAAATGGGAGTGATAGCGACGACGAAGGCGGTCGCGATGCTAGTAGAAAGAGGAGAAGATTATCAGTCGAGGACGAGACGAATCCGGTTAAGCTATTCAGAAAATTAAAGCGTGAGTATTATTACATGGGGACGTTCCATGGGAAGCCGTCGGGTTGCTTGATGTACGAGCTTGCCCATTCGTTGCGAAAGAATGTAAACGAGCTACTCTGGCTGGCCTGCGTCTCCTTAACCGATCAGTTCGTGCACGAGAGATTAACCGACGAGAGGTACCACGCCGGCGTAATGGAACTCGAGCAGCACATCAACAGCTCAGGCAATCTCGACGCAGTTACTTCCGTCACTCTCAAGGACGGGACGAAGGTGATGGTTCCGGATGCTTCTAGAATCGCCTACGAGGACGAGCCGAGGCTGATGCTTCTGCAAGAATGGAACTTGTTCGACTCAATGCTTTGCTCGTCGTACATCGCGACAAAACTGAAGACGTGGAGCGACACCGGATTGAAAAAGCTGCAGCTTCTTTTAGCTCGAATGGGGTTCGCGAGGGACGAATGCAAACAGAAATTCCAGTACATGAACGTCGAGATCAAACGGAGCATGAAAGAAATGTTTGAACGGTATCTCCCTGAGTTCGGGCTAACGGACTTTTATTACCGCGGCTTCTTGCTTCTACACGGCTACAGTTCGAAAGTCTCCGCGGCAGACGTTGTCCACGGAGTCACAGCCCTTCTAGAATCATCCGTCGAACCCGATGGCTCCTCCGGGTCGAAGCAGTTCGGGATAGCGTACGACGCCCTGTCGTTAACGAAGCTCGACAAGCTCGAAACGGGAATGCTGCAGGCGATTAAGGTGCAACGGGCGGTTCTTCGACAGGGCAGCACGGCGATTACGAAAAAAGGATCGATAAGAAGCGGGAGCAAGTTTCGTTGGGTGAAACTCGAGGACTCTGCCGACGCAACTCTGCTATGCCACCCTCAAGCTTTGACGAAATTCGGGTACTTTCTGATGGACGCGTTACGCGAAAAGGGCGCGAGGATGAAGCCTCTTGTCTGCGTTTGCTACATGGAGGAACACCAGAAGGTTTTGATCGTCGGCGTTTGCGGGAAGCCGCGGCTCGGCGCGGTTCAGGGGAATGCTTTCGGGATTGCGTTCCGGAGCGCGGCAGCGGAGACGGGAGCCGAGTATTTTCACGAGCTGTTCGAGTCTTCGTGGATTGTTTTGGAAGCTGCTGCTGTGAATTCGTTTATGATCAGGTTGACACACAAGCTGTTGTGACTAAGGTACACTTGATCTTTCTCTTGTATTCTTCATGTTTGTTTCTTTGTTATTCTTTGAGATTTGGATGATGTGTTTTGTTATGAATCTGCGACTGTTAGTTGTTTTTTTCACTTGATATGCATTGTTCTAACTTCTCTGTGTGTTTGTTGTAATGTTCGAATAGAGCTTTTTATGCATTGAATTCTTGATGTAGGAGGATTGAGTTTAAATTTTAATTTTAGGTTGCTTTTTTGTAGGTCTGCTATGGTTTTCTGTTAGATTTGGTTGAGTATTTTAAATAGATTAAATTATTCAATTCTATCTCGTTCTGTCAGTTTATTAGGATGTCGGATTTGTGTTGATCCGCTTAATATTGTGTTGAATTTGTGTTGATCCGTGTACATAATTGGATCGAAGTTCTTTATCTAGATCTAATTATTTCTTGTTCTATCACATTATGTTAGTTTTTGTCGGTTATATTATAATGTGTATAGTAAACTACAGTTGAATTATTTAAGATGGAATATGAGGTTTAATTATCAAATTATAGTTATTTTACGTATATATTATAATCGGATTGTTGTGTTGGATTCAAGTTGAAAATTTCAACTCTAACTTGATTTGTTTATTATTGCTCGGGTTCGTGTCAATTCATATACATAATCATGACGAATTATTTGACTTAAATTCAATTATTTTGTGTCTTGTTATAAGTGTTAAAGTCCATTTTTGTCGGTTATATCAGGATTTGGATTTTATGTTTCGAGTTGACCTAAAATTATTTATTATTATTATTTAAATTTAAAATATTTATATTGAATATATATAATATTAAAAAAAATAAAAAATAAAATTGTTTTTGTAGGTAAATTTATTTTTTTAAAGTTTTTTGGTATGTTCCGTATCGGGTTTGTCGAGGTTTCAGGTGACCTGAAACTAAATCAGGTCAATTCGAACCGGACTCAAAAAAATTTGTGTGGTGTTTGGATTTAAAATTTTGGGTCAGATTTCAAATTCGGATTGAGTTCAAGTTAAAACAACTTTTTGTTACTCTATGGTTCATTCCGACACATATAAGACCCGAAAATACGAATTGACAGCCATAATCATTATGTCCCGTTCAAATCACCCAAGCAGTGGCAACTAAAATTATCAAAAGATAACTTTAGCTTTGTCCTCTTACCTTTTTGTTACCATTTAGGGTGTGTTTGTTTGGGGATAGAATTTTAAATACATTATTCATCCCATTTTTTTCCTTAAAAAATATCACATTAAATATTTATTTTTTATTTTTTTATATTATATTAAAAATTAATTTTACATTCAAAATATCACATCAACACTTATTTATATCACATTATACAACTATTCAAATTCAAAATTTTTACTATTTAAATCTCAATTCAAAATCCAAACCCCCAAACAAACACACCCTTAGAGGCAATTGATTAATAATACGCTATTTAAAGCCGTGAAGTTTAATAAGTTAATAATAGTGAAATATGATATTTTTTATATAATGATATTGTTAATAGTTTTAAAATAAAAAATATTTATATTTTTCTGAACCAATTCAATGCATCTATTTTATCATTTTCGCCCGTCTTACTAAAAACTATATTTTCTATTATAATAAAAGTTATTATATATAAATACCAAAATATTTTTAACTTGTATAAAATAAAAATCATTTCTTTTGTACTATAACAAAATTATCAAAACTATCTTACACATTTTCACTAACTAATAAAATATTATTATTATTTTTTAATTTATTACAAAAAATAAGTATATACATTCGATGTTATATTAATATTTAAAAATCTATGTATAAAAGGTAATCAAATAAACAATTGCATGAAAAATAAATTGTACTCGTTTTGTCTCACTTAATTTGTTAATTATTTATATTTTCGTTCGTCCCATATAATTTTTCATTTTTTTTGAAATATAATTATACGCTTTAATTACATTTTAAAATTCACAATTTATAATTTTTTTATTCTAATTAAACTATGTAATTACCTTAATTTTAATTTATAATTATTTTTATTAAATAATAATATTTACTTTTACTAATACACTTTTTTATTACTTACTAATTACACAATACTTCAAACTTCGTGAATCGTGCTTAACCTAGAGAGGACAAATTATTTTTGTCTTATTGTACTTAACATTAAAAATATTCTTATATTTGTATAATTTTGTGTACAAATGTTCTTCTATTAGTATTATAAGACGCTAATGAAAGTACTTTTGCAATTTTTTTTGTTAATTTATACTATGTTTTGATATAATAATTATGTTACGTACGAAATTTAGAATTAGGTTAAAAGCCCAAGGTAAAAAGAAGAATGGGCCTGGCAATAGAGTTGATTGAACTGGCTGAAGGATACCGTGGGGAAATCAAGGAAAATAGGTTTATTTCTAAGGAAAAATATAAGACGGAAAGTCCTCAGGACGGAAAGACTAAAGGGCGGAAGGTCTTCAGGTCGGAAGGCCCTCAAGACGGAAAGTCCCCAGGACGGAAAGACCTCAGGTCGGAAGGTTTTTAGGTCGGTAGGTCCTCAAGACGGAAAGTCATCAGGACGAGAAGTCCGCAGGTCGGGAGGCTCTCAGGTCGGGAAGTCCTCAGGACGGAAAGACTAAAGGGCGGAAGGTCTTCAGGTCGGTAGGTCCTCAAGACGGAAAGCCATCAGGATGGGAAGTCCGCAGGTCGGGAGGCCTTCAGGTCGGGAAAAGGAAGAAAGTTGAGATCTTAAGAATTGATCCAAATCCAGACTCAGGTATTACCAAGAGATGGTTGTCCGTGATCAGCAGTTCGGGCTGTATTCAGGTCGGGCGGAGTCTAAAAGAAAAAGGTGTACCCAAGTTGGGTAAACCGTAGATCGGATGGAAGGCGAAGTCGGGCAGACGCGGAGGTCTGTCAAGAGGAAGGTCGGGCAAGGAAGAGGTACGGACAGACGCGGAGGTCTTCGGTCAAAGACGGTGGGCGGCTGATGCGGAGGTCGGCCCAAGTGAGGTCGGGCGAAGAAGCAGGTCGGGCGAAGGACGAAGTCGGGCCAAAAGGGCGGAAGGTCTGTGGTCGGCTCAAAGAGTGAAATATAGGGATAATTTTGGTCTGCTGAGGACACGTGTCAGCAGGAGAAGGGTTGGAAGACGGTTGGGAAGGAGACGTTGTAACCGTTCGGGCGACGGTTTTCAGTACAGTTTCCTAGAGAATATTTAAGGACGAAGTCATCATTTGGCAAGGCATCTTCAATCAACTTCAACAAAGCAAAGTCAGATTTGGGGATCACCACTTTAAATTTCAGTCTTTTATTTTCCAGTTTATTTTCTGTACCATACAGTGTTTAGAGATTCCTAATCTCAGGCACTAATTAATCAAGTTTAAGGATATTTTCTATATCTTTGAATTTTACTTTATTTTTGTTGAAAAATTACATCAACAAATTGGCGACCACAGTGGGAGCAAGACACAATTGCTCATTCTAATTCCGGCGATAATTTCATACGTCTTAGATCCGGCCGAATCATCGGAAGGGTCCATATGGCAGGTTCACAACCGCAGTCATCTTCGGCACCGGCGGGAGAATCCGTTCCACCACCTATTGTGCCAAATGCCGGGGAAAACTCACAACCACCAAATGATTGGAGGTCTTATGTTCAACAACTGAACAACCAGCAAACTTTGGTTATGCAGAATATGTTGCGTGAGCAACAAACGAGCATGATGCGTGACCAACAAAATCTAATACAGAATATGTTGGATCAAGCACTGTCAAGGGTTAGCCTTCAACCCACTCAAACTCCACCAGGAGTATCACCATCCAGATTACAGACAAATTTCGCAGGGCCATCATTCGTGGATAGTGCGTTTCCAAGTGCCACAAATCCCAACCGAACGGATAGGGGAAAATCTCCTCTGACGTTTCCCAACACTGTTCCGCTGGGACCAAGGGTGTCCAGTCCGCAGCCGAACAATACAAGGGAGGACAGGCCTGGAGGATATATACATGATCCTATTCATATTCCTGTGCAGGATCCTTTCCATGTTCCTGATCAGCAACGCTTTCATGTAGATCCTGATGAGATTGCACATATATTAAGGGATCAGTTTGGGCTAACTCCTCAGATGACTAACCGCCCTGCATATCAGAGACCTTTCCCAGAAAGGATCATTAATGAACATCCCCTCCCAAGGAATTATCGACCACCCGATTTTCATGCATTCTCAGGGGAGGACGGATCTTCCACTATAGAACATGTTGGTCGGTTCACAGCACAATTAGGAGAAGTTGGCAATAACCCTTTTTATAAGTTGTAGCTGTTTGGTTTATCTCTTACTAGAACAGCGTTTTCGTGGTTTGCAAGTCTGCCTCCTGGACAAATTCAGACATGGGAAGGGCTGGAGATGGCATTTCATGCCAGATTCTTCAATCCTTTACCAAGTGTGTCTTTAACTGATTTACTAGAATTGAGACAGTATCCAGAAGAATCTGCTTCACAGTTTATAGAAAGGGTGCGATTGATGAAGGGGCGATGTCCTACAGTAATCAGTGAGAAAGAGATGACCAATTTAGTGGTCCGGAATATGCATACTCGCTTAAGAAAGGCACTCACTGCCCTGGACGTTGAGGATCTGGCAAGTCTTGCATCTAAGGCTGGACGTTTAGAGTCTTTGTTCAGAGAGTAAGATCAGAATAACAGGCGTAATAGAGGCCAACATATGGCGAGTATGGGAACAGAAACATGTGACTTTGATTTTAATCAGTCAGAAGAGATGGCAGCCGAAATCCTTTCTGGAAAACCTTATGTATGCCCCAAATTGAAGCCAGTACCAGGATCTGAAGGAAAGGAGCAACCGACGTTTGATAGTTCAAAAGCTGATGAAATCTTTGATATCTTGCTGACTGATGGGCAGATCCGTATTCCAAAGGGGCAAAGACTGGCCACTAAAGAAGAAATCAAAGGGAGACCATACTGCAAGTGGCATAATTCTTTCACACACAATACAAGTCAGTGTACTCATTTCAGGAAGGAAATTCAAAAGGCCATCAAGACAGGTCGGCTCAAATGCATCACTCTAGGTGTAGACCAGCAACCGTTTCCGAAAGTAACAACGGCAATGGTTGACATCCAACCAAGTTCGGAAACAGGGAAAAGTTCGGCCAATGATGGACAAACAGGGGAACGAACTCAGGCAAACCCCGGAACAAAAAAAGGAAGTCAGCCAAACAGTGGCCGACCGGAAGAACGACTCAAAGTTGTTGAAAGGCCAATCGCTGAAAAATGGGACCGTCCAGACGGTTCTTTTAATGTGGAGGTGAAAGAAAAGGTTTTAGTGCGTGACCATCCGACCAGAAAAACAGGTTCAGTCGGGAACAATT